AAACTTTTGCTGTTCATTTTTCCAATTTGCAGTGAAATTTATGGGCTTCCGGTTTGTCAGAGGGTGGAGCCATAATAATATTTTTTGTCTTGACTTGAGGAACATGTGTACCGAATTTCATGACTCTACAACAAACTTGATCTTCAGAACTCCCATAGGGGTATTATTTTGGCTGTTGTAGGTGGCGCTGTTGTGGCAGTTTTTGAGTCCCATAAAAATAAACACCAAAATATCAAATTTTTCGCCAGGTCTGATTTTTGGGGGTCAAATTAAGGCTCAAAGTGCAGGAGAAAAAATAAATAAATAAATAATTAAAGCCGCAAGCGGCGTCGAACGGCCCTCGCCGCACCGCGCGACTCCCTGCACCACGCCGCCCCGCACCAAGCCGCCCTGCACCATGCTGTCTCGCACCACGCCACCCCGCACCAAACCGCAACGTGCCGCTCCACAACGCCCTGCACTACGCTGCACCACACCGTACCACGCAGCACCATACAAAGAAGGTGGCACCGCCGTGTGATAATTTGTTCCCATAGCCATAGAAGATTGTTAGTCAAATTGTAATGAATATGATAATTAGAGCTGCTTTGGCTCCCAATGTAAATTTTGACTCAGTCTGTAGGGGGCGCTAATGGGTCAATTTCAAATATTTCAATTTCACCTGACCTAAACCCTGGAGTTTAACAATGGATTCAAGTTTAATGCAAATCAGACTTTGTTTGTGCAAACGGGAAAAAAATGTATGTTGTCAAAAACGGCCAAAAAAACCCTCACATGTTGCCGCTCCGCTACTCAAACAACGTTTCACTGATCAAAATTCCCTGAAGTCATTTTGAAGGTACATGTGTTGAGATAATGTGGAGCAATATTGAGGCCAATCGGTGAAACGGCCGAGGAGGAGTCGCTTTCCAAGCGACATGTATGAAAATTATTGGTTTTCATTTTTCCATTTTGCAATGAAATTTATGGGCTTCCTGTTTGTCAGAGGGCTTAGCCATAATAAAAATGTTTCCATGTCTTGACTTGAGGAATATGTGTACCAAATTACATGGTTCTACGACAATTTTGACCTCGAACCCCTCCCATAGGCATTTTTAAATTGGCTGTTGTAGGTGGCGCTATAGAGCCAATTTCAATTTTTTTACTTTCAAATGACCTAGACCCAAGAGTTGATCCATGGATTGAAGTTTTGTGCAAACCAGACTTTGTTTGTGCAAATGGAAGCAATTTTTCTATTGTCAAAAACTGAAAAAAAATATGCCGCTTTTTGGCGCTCCGCTGCTCAAACAACATTTTACTCATCAAAAGTCTGAGAAATCAAAATGAAGGTACATGTGTTGAGATGATGTGGAGCGATTTTGAAGCAAATCGGTGAAACGGCCGAGGAAGAGTCGCTTTCCAACCGACACGTGTGAAAAGGATCATGTTTCATTAGTTCATTTTGAAGTGAAATTTATGGGCTTCCTGTTTGTCAGGGGGCGGGGCCATTATAACTTTTATTTATTGTCTTGAGATGAGGAACATGTGTACCAAATTTCATGCCTATACAGCAAACTTGACCTCAAAACGCTCCCATACTAAAAACTTTGACCCCATCTATAGGGGGCGCTAGTGAGCCAAGTTAATTTATTTCACTTTCAAATGACCTAAACCCTAGAGTTGAACAATGTATTAAAATTTTCTGCAAATCAGACTTTGTATGTGCAAACGGGAGCAAATTTAATGTTGTCAAAAACGGCTTAAAAAAAGGTCACATTTTGCCGCTCCGCTGCTCGAACAACGTTTCACTGATCAAAAATCCCTGAGGTCATTTTGAAGGTACATGTGTTGAGATGATGTGGAGCGATTTTGAGGTGAATCGGTGAAACGGCCGAGGAGGAGTCGCTTTCCAACCAACATGTATGAAAACTTTTGCTGTTCATTTTTCCATTTTGCAGTGAAATTTATGGGCTTCCTGTTTGTCAGAGGGCGGAGCCATAATAATATTTTTTTCATGTCTTGACTTGAGGAACATGTGTACCAAATTTTATGTTTCTACGACAAACTTGATCTCCAAAAAGTCCCATAGGGGTATTATTTTGGCTGTTGTAGGTGGCGCTGTTGTGGCAGTTTTTGAGTCTCATAAAAATAAACACCAAAATATCAAATTTTTTGCCAGGTCTGATTTTTGGGCCAAAATTAACAACTTTTCATGCATGTTCAGGGGGTCAAATTAAGGCTCAAAGTGCAGAAGAAAAAAGAAGGAACTCCCCGCACCGCGCGACTCCCCGCACCACCCCGTTCCAAGCCACCACGCCGTCCCGCACCAACCCGCAACGCAGTTGACGCAAATCAGACTTTGTATGTGCAAACGGGAAAAAAATTAATGTTATCAAAAACTGCCAAAAAATACCTCACATTTTGCCGCTCCGCTGCTCAAACAAAGTTTCACTGATCAAAAATCCCTTAAGTCATTTTGAAGGTACATGTGTTGAGATGATTTGGAGTCATTTTGAGGCCAATCGGTGAAACGGCCGAGGAGGAGTCGCTTTCCAAGCAACATGTATGAAAATTATTGGGTTTTCATGTTTCCATTTTGCAATGAAATTTATGGGCTTCCTGTTTGTCAGAGGGCTTAGCCATAATAAAAATGTTTCCATGTCTTGACTTGAGGAACATGTGTACCAAATTACATGGTTCTACAACAATTTTGACCTCGAACCCCTCCCATAGGCATTTTTAAATCGGCTGTTGTAGGTGGCGCTGTAGAGCCACTTTCAAAATGTTAACTTTCAAATGACCTAGACACAAGAGTTGAACCATGGATGTGCAAATCAGACTTTGTGCAAACGTAAGCAATTTTTCTATTGTCAAAAACTGAAAAAAAATATGCCGCATTTTGGCGCTCCGCTGCTCCAACAACATTTTACTGATCAAAAGTCTGTGAAATCAAAATGATGGTACATGTTTTTAGACGATGTGGAGCGATTTTGAGGCAAATCGGTGAAACGGCCGAGGAGGAGTCGCTTTCCAACTGACACGTGTGAAAAGGATCATGTTTCATTTGTCCATTTTGAAGTGAAATTTATGGGCTTCCTGTTTGTCAGGAGGCGGGGCCATAATAACTTTTATTTCATGTCTTGAGATGAGGAACATGTGTACCAAATTTCATGCCTATACAGCAAATTAGACCTCGAAACGCTCCCATACTAAAAACTTTGACCCCATCTGTAGGTGGCGCTAATGAGCCAAGTTAATTTATTTCACTTTCAAATGGCCTAGACCCTAGAGTTGAACGATGTATTCAAGTTTTGTGCAAATCAGACTTTGTGAAAACGGCAGCAAATTTGATGTTGTAAAAAAACTGCCAAAAAAAGGTCACTTTTTGCCGCTCCGCTGCTCAAACAACGTTGCACTGATCAAAAATCCCTGAGGTCATTTTGAAGGTACATGTGTTGAGATGATGTGGAGCGATTTTGAGGCGAATCGGTGAAACAGCCGAGGAGGAGTCGCTTTCCAACCGACATGTATGAAAACTTTTGCTGTTCATTTTTCCATTTTGCAGTGAAATTTATGGGCTTCCTGTTTGTCAGAGGGCGGAGCCATAATCATATTTTTTTCTTGTCTTGACTTGAGGAACACGTGTACCAAATTTCATGACTCTACAAAAAACTTGATCTCCGAAACTCCCATTGGGGTATTATTTTGGCTGTTGTAGGTGGCGCTGTTCAGGCATTTTTTGAGTCCCATAAAAATAAACACCCAAATATCAAATTTTTCACCAGGTCTGATGTTTGGGCAAAATTTTACAACTTTTCATGCATGTTCAGGGGGTCAAATTAAGGCTCAAAGTGCAGAATTTGACATCTCTCGAGCAAAAACAATAGGCCCTTTCCCCGTTCGGAGCTCGGGCCTAATGAAAAAGGAATTTTTGTTTTAACGTCTCGAGCAAAAACAATATAGGTTTCAATGGCATGTGATACATCATTTTAAAGCTTTTGAGTTTACGCACGCAACCGTCACATTTTGGTGAGTGACGGGCGCTGACGCGTCCGTCACGCACCGCCACCATTTGTTTTCACCATTGTGAAAGCAATAGGCCCTTACCCCGTTCGGGGCTCGGGCCTAAAAAAGGATTTTTTTTTCGACGTCTCGAGCAAAAACAATATAGGTTTCAATGGCATGTGATACATCATTTTAAAGCTTTTGAGTTTACGCACGCAACTGTCACGTTTTGGTGAGTGACGGACGCGCACCGCCACCATTTGTTTTCACCATTGTGAAAGCAATAGGCCCTTACCCCGTTCGGGGCTCGGGCCTAATAACAGTAGAAAGAATCTGAAGCAGAGACTGAGTCAGATGAGACCAATGACTCACTCCATTCCCAGCAGAAACTGCAGTGTGAATGTCCCTTTCAACACCTTCAATATAACGAGCGCTTAAGTTGATTAGCATGTACTTTCAGGTCATTGATTGACTAAACATTTTTTTTAATATTATCCACAGGGCATCAGTAAAATACACAACTTTAAAGACAGAATCAGCGCTGTGCATCAGACTGTGTGCCTGGACACACAAAACCAACACTCGCATCACTTTCTTTGTAAAGCACCACTAGCTCAGACTACACAAAGTGACAATGGGGAAGCTTGTTGTAGAGAACTGCCATTCGCTGCAACTGTTATTTTTGTAAACTGCTGACAAAGCCATCTTCAGGATGTGTTTAAAGCAAGAAGTTGATCATAACATACAGAAAACACTGATCAGACGTGATACTAGTTTATGTCATACATGTGTAGTATCTTTACCATCATCACATAGCATAGTTTAAAACAGCAATAAGCTAAAACACTGACCCTAAGCCAATGCTGTAGGGTCAAATGAGAAAAGGAACACCAATTACAGCATGTAAAAATATGTATAATGTATGTGATGATTTTCAGGAGATCCTCTTTAGGCTTCACTGTATGCAACAAGTGTAACCATCAATGTTTGATGTCTCAGGACCTCATGATTCTTACCTCTCTCAGTTTGGTCTCTGGACACTCGGAGTGAAGCGTCAGCGTGGCCCCCTCAATGTTGCGTGGCATGGGAGTGGAGCCGGGGTTAATAGTAAACTGGATCTGGTCTGCGGAGATTGTGTGGTGCACATAACCCTGTGACATGGCCTCAGCGTCCACCATAAAAGTAAGGGTTCCATCCTCCTCATCTCCATCAGTGAGGAAGGTGACACAGTCTTCATCCCCTCCACAGTGGCCCTCCTCCTCGCCCTCCTCGTCCAGCCTGATGGGGTCTCGCTCGATGAGCACTGTGGTGCGGTCATACACCCGGCCAGATGAAGAACAAGGCTCCTCAATCAAGTCATCTTCTTTGTCATAGTGAACTTTGTCTTCTTCTTCCTCATCTTCCCGTTCCAAAGATTCCACTGCCACCTCAAAGTACATGGACGCCTCCGTATGAGGGCCATTGTCACTCATGGTCCCAGGTGCACCCCGTTCTCCCGGTAGGACGTCACACTCGCACAGAAATACCTTACGATCCTAAAGAAGAACAAATATACTTTTATTCATGGTGCTGATGATCAGACAGTTGTAAAACAAACGAATTCATTTGGCGGACTTGTAACACAAACTAAACTAAGGCAAACAGTGTCACTGCAGTCATTCTGGCTTTGGTCTCATTCTCCAGAAAGTTCTAGAATTGTCCACCGTTCAACCAATGGGAAATGAAATTAGTCCAAATATGTTTTGATAATCACGTCACTGTCAAATCTCGTGTAAACCTATCGATCCATGAAACCTGTAGAAAATGGGCAATGATTAAAAAAACAAATAGAAAACAAGTAACAGTGTCATGTGTTTGGGTGTTTTGCCAATAAAACCGCAGGGATCGTTTTCACAGACAGGTTATTATACACCAAACAAACACATACATTTAGACAGACGTCAAAGGTTACTTTTCACACGATGCTTCAGAGCTGAGGCTGCTGCTAAAAGGACAGGCTATAACGTTAGCTTCCAAGTGTCAAGCTGCAGGTCCATGCATTTGTCATCAGAGCAGTAAATGTTGTAGGCTGGCATCAATGTCCAAGAGGCAAACAGAGAAGCTTACACCCAAAGCCATTTTATAAACAGGCAAATCAGAGCAGGCACAAGTCAAAGTACTTTGTTGTCCATGTATGTGCACATGCATACCACAGCTAGCGTGTCCTAGCCTCAGTTAGCAGCAGAGAAGCTAACGTCAGAAGCGTTACCTCTGGTTATAATGTCGTACATAGTTTTATCTAAGAACCTCTGATCCCCGATGTCCAGAAGAAACCATGATAGCGCCATTGCTGAGCTCCAGAAGTTTCTATCCGTCGTGTTTACCTGCGTGTGAAGAGAAGCCTCCTCCGCTCCTTCGGATGCACTTTCCTCCTGTCTCCTCCCAGCGTGACGCTGATGGATCATGGGAATGTTTGTGTGACGTCATGAGGACACACACATCATAAATGAGACCAAAACACAACCATTTCACTTTAGTTTTTTTATATAAAACATTGGTGAAATGTGAAACATTAAATACAAATGGTCTGTTTAAATAAACATACAATAAAAAAATATTTGTCTACATTGTAATTTTCAGTGATTTACACAAAATATGAGTATAACTAAGGTTCGCATACATCTTAAGTTACAATTACATTTATATTCAAAGAGTGATCAAATAAACAATTGCATGATTATATCAAATACTGGACTTTAGTGTTCATCTTCATTCTTCAGCACCACTCAAGAGGGCTCAGCCTCTTTATGTGACGAGCCATGGACCAAGAAGTGTTGGAAGAACTCTTGAGTCTTGCGCTTTTCTGTAAGATCTTGCTTTGTTGGTGACCGTAGGATCAACGATCCAAATATTGTAGCTATAAAAATATTAAATTAATACAAAGATTATGACTTAATATTGTAATTGTGAAATTACTTGATAGTCTGTTGAGCATTTCTTACTCAATGTGTTGACATCTAATCGATTTTGAACAGAATTCTTCAACAATTCACGGAGAAAGGCAGCTATATAGTTGAAAACATTCTGATGATTTTGAGGTAGCATGGAAATAATCTAAAAATAAAACATTTGGTTTTAGTTGAAGTAAAATATCAATTTGAAGGACAAAAATGTAGCACACCTTCACACACTGACTGGCATCACTGCAACATTCAAGGCACTGAGGGTAAAACGAATAAGGGACAACTGGCTCTGGCAGAGCGTCCACGAAGAGAAGCAAGGCCTCTGCAACGGAGTGGTTACTTCCTGCTGATAGTTACTTGTTAGGAAATATAATACACAGCCTGAAACTAGCCAGGATCCACAAAAACAATACTAATTTTATGATGATATGCTGAAAACAGTCCAGATGAAGGGATTACAGACTAATTAAATCTCAATAGTAGTAGGATACGAAGAGAATCTGGCATGCCTGTGTCAAGGCAGTCTCTTATATCTGCAAATTCACTCCGAAGCCCAGGTTGCTGAAAAATATCTTCCTACAGTGTAAAAAAATACATTCAATCATGACAAACTAAGTTTACAATTCATCATATGTTGCACATGAATAACCCCAATAACACGTTACCTGTTTAATTGCATTGCGAAACAAATGGTCAACCATCATCCACAGCTCTTTGGGAATGTCAAGATTTTTTTCCACACGACTGTCTGTGTCCGTCATATTTAGCTGTGAAAAGGTTTTTTTGTCACTCACATATCTACATTATAATATTAAAATGTTTGAATATTAAAACTAACCACATTATAGAGGGCATCCTGAGGCATGTCTTGAATGGGCTCTCTTATATGACACAGTGATCTTATGGAGGTGCCATAGCAGCTGGGAAGATAGTTTCCAGTGATAGAAATGAAATAGTCTTTGCCCCTCTCCAGATGAAGCACAAGGATTTCTTCAATCTGCTGCTTTCCAGAGTTCAGTTCAGGAGCTGTGGTGCGGTTCACAAACACCTCAAGGTCAATGTCCACAGTGCCACCTACATGTTGAAAAAAAAGCTAAATAAATACACCATAAATAATACTCTGCGAGAAGTAGATCATCTTAAAATATTATGCGAGGGGGAAAGAAAGTCTGACTTCACCCTGAGGGATGAAACCTTTTGGAGGGTTAGCAGTGAGCCAGGGCTTGCAATATGTGCTTTCATTTGGCTTTTGAATGAATTCAAACTGACACGGGACCTGGCCATCATTGAATAGACTCAGTGTTACAGCCTGGTGCTGCATAAACTTCACATCTTTGAAGTGGAACTGCAATTAAATAAAGAAATTAACATTAACAAAAGACACACAATTGGAATAAGTACAACACAAAGGAACCAGACGTTACCTCCCGCTTTGATAATGTCACAGAAGGAATGCATTCATTCTCCATTTTGTCTATGTTTCGCACAATCTCTTCAAATGTTTTCTTATAAGCATCTGCATTTACTCTCTTTATCTGTGGGACAGAATGAGTATGTTTTTTACAATGTTACAATTTAACAACATCAAAACAATTGTTGAAAATGTGATTTTACCCGAATTACAAGCAAAGAGCTGACTGGTTTGTGATCACTGGTCTTTAGTGCCATGTGACTTTTATAATGTTTCTGTTGAATGTTCTTCCCTTTCCATAAGATGCGGTCGCACCACGCAGGCACACGGCACTTTTCACTGAATGTAGAAGAAATTACTCTCCCAATGAGTTGAGGACACTCACTCAATGACAGTGTGTCAGAGGGAAATCTATTACGTAGTATATTACCTCGTATCCCACAAGTCTGAGCCAGTGTCATATTTGTAGGTGGGCTGAAAATGTATCTCTCCCTCCTTGAAGCCAACAAATACAGCCTCCTCATCGATTTGCCGCTTGAGCTATGGGGGATTAAGAAGCAGTCTCTTTAGTAAAGATGGCACAGTATGAAAGTTCCACAACTATAAAACACCATCATAGTGTGAGGTGAATCAAAGAACTGTGTAACAACAAAAAAGAGCTACTTCAATTTCATTATGGCATTGAGCCAATAAACAATATTTAATGTTATTAATTATAGTCCAGTTGAGATTCAGAATCTCATCATCAGGAGAGTCCTGAAGGAGACTATTGTACATAGTTTTAGTAGCAGAGGAACCTAAACCCAGGACCTTCTTGCTGATGTTGACAGCTCTAACCACTGCACAAGCATGTCGCCCAGTGGTGGAACCAGAACGTTTTGTAACAAATCTGACAGTTATATGAACCAACCCCGAGGTAAACAAACTGGGCTTTCAACACTGTCTGAAGTCCACCCTCGCCCTAATGTTACACAACAGTCCAGAAACATCATGGTTCACTACAGTAAATACAAATAGCCCAATAATCTGGGCAGAGTTACCTGATCATAGCTGTGAAGAGTCTCAAAGTCCTTATTGCTGATTAATTCTTTCACATTATCAACATCAAGGTCACTTATTCTGTAGTTCAGATCGCCCATCCAAAGAATCACACTACAAAAAATGCAATAGAAAAAAATATGAAAATCTAGTGCAATATACCGTATAAAAATGTGCAAACGTACTCGTGCTTCATGATGGTTAAAGGAGGCTGGGACGGGTCGAGCTGCCGAAACTGGAGGCGACTGCAAATGTCTTTGAAGTCCTGATTGCGTCGCTCGTATTCCTCTGTGTGAGCGGCGAGGTGGCAGTTGACCACACAGATGTCGGAGTTGTGGAAGTGAAAGCGTATGGACACAGCGCCCTTGTTCCCCTGGCGACAAAGACCAGATCATGTTAATGCGATTAATTTGTTATCACTGTGTTAAGGTGATCACATGGACGCTAATGGGGATCCAAATAAATAAATATGTTTTCTGAATGTATAATCACTATAACTATTCCAATTTGACCCTTATGGACCAATGGCTGGGGCGACAGTAGCTCAGTTGGTAGAGCATTGGTCTTAAGGCCAGAAGGTTGTGGGTTCAATTCCCACCTCTACACCTTCTCCACCGACTCCCACTGATGACTGCTGTCATTGTGTCCTTGGGCAAGACACTTAACCCCACTTTGCCCAAAGCCCCCACTGAAAGATCAAGGCTATGCTCACACTCAGAGAGCAGGCGTCCTCCTGTGGACTCACCACCTGCAGAGGGTCAGTGAGGGGCTGTTGCTATGAGACTTGGGTGGCATCTCTGATTGCCACCCCCCTGACCCAGAAATGGATTAAAGGGTAGAAAATGGATGGATGGACCAATGGCTCTATGTGTTTTTTAACATTCAACTGTTTTGTAAAGTCCTCAGAGATAACTACTGTTGTGATTAAGGGCAATACAAGAATACATTGAATAGAATTGAAGCCCTAAAGTAGCAAAGTTACAAGCAAAAACCACTAAATAGAAACATATACATTTCGTCTGTGTAAGCACATTTACCATTCTCCCCATGATGCCAGTGCCCACTGTTTCAGCCTCGATGTCTGATAAAAACTCTGCATGATCCTTCTTTATGTAGAAGATAAGCATAATGCCCACCAAACGCACCAGTTTCACCTGAAAGATACAAATGGTTATGATTTCTTTTGCATCTTCTCAAATTCTATTGCATTTCCATTCATTAACAAATCACAGTTAAATAGTCTTCTATGCAAGTAGAGAACAACTATTTATTATGGTATTCATTAACTGGAGATTAAATAGAGTTTCTAAACAAACAGAAATTACAGATTATATCAAAGTAATAAATAATTGACTGAATTAATTATGTGTTTCACAACATAAATCTTGTATGTGCCCAACTCTGGTTTCTCTCTTAGTAAATTATCCAAATAAGTGTGCAACATATTATCAATGACTGCCCACATTCCCCTCTAGAGCAGTTAAAATGCACCAGAATAAAAGGATATCAGATTTGGGGGTTGGCTGATGTGAAACCGGTCTGTGACATCACAAGTTGGAGATCACCGTGTTAATGTTTTCAGCTCTAAAAGGTACATTAATAATAATAAACATTCACACTTGAAGTATTTTTGCCCTAATTGGTTCACATATCTGTGGAGATGGTAAATGTTGTAACTTCCAAATCAATATCTACATTATATACACCATTCAAAGTAATAGAAATGACTGTATCAAGTCTGATTTGGTACATCTTGGACAAAAAGGAGATTGAAAAACAGTCTCTTACTAAAGCATACTTGGCGTCTGGATGCAGCCCCTCAGTCACGGCCTTTGTCCATTCAAGCTCTTTCGGGGTGTCGCTGAAGAAGAAAGCCTCTTTGCTGAGGTCCAACTCTTGGAAACTGGGGAAAGAAAGATGTGTCCCAGAATGACCTTGACTAAATAATGCAATACATTAGCAACATTTAAGTGTAACTCACCCAACACAATAAATGTCCGGAGGCTCAACAGTAGAACTGAGCCATGGACCGAGACTTTCCTTTGGAATTTGTCCATTCACATTGTACGTGCCAAAGAAAAAACTAGGAGAAAGCAAAACAATTACTTACTAATAATAAGACTATTCATGGAAAAATAAGGGCTGCCCCATCTGTTTTGTTACAATGATTAATACAAATATATTTAAGGAGAATATCAAATAAAAATGAAAAATAATAAGTAACATGATTGGACCAGCAGGGGGCAGTGCAGACCTTCCCTAAAACATGAAGGTATTTTCAGATGAATAACCGCAACAACTGATGTTGGTTTGGGGTGAAAGTTAGATGCAACTTAGTCTATTTGCTTAAACCTGCTGCGAGAGAGAAATGTATTTATAAGAGCTCGAGACACAGATAAACAAACCCACAGATGTTGACTCATGCTATTGCATAACAATTCTTGGATTAAAAATATGTTGGTTCAGTACATTTGGGCACATACAGCTCAGCCATCGGATCCAAAATCAGTGTGGAGTTCAGCAGCGTGTTTGTGTGAACCTGCAGAAGAATCTATAATCGCAAATGTAAGAGGTTGTCGAGTCTTGTACTTGGTTGTAGAAGTGATAACTGAATGTATGTACACGTGTCACAATAAGAAAAAATAATAAATATATATATATATATATATATATATATTTATTCATACTAAAGTTAACGCAATAATGGCAAGTGCAATATTGATATAGCAAAGATGTGCAATAATTGTATATCTATAAATCATGTGTTTTTGATGCGTAACTTTCAGCCTGATCCTGGGATTCAGTGGAATCTTGTTTTGTTTTGAGGGAAATAGTGCCATTTTGTTGCCATTTCCTATTGACATTTGCAATTAAGAGTCACAATCAGATTAAGGTTTGGGTTGCGGATGAGGTAAGTGAGATAGAGACAAGAGAGATAGATTGCTTTGGGTAAGAAATTTTGCTGAGATATATATTTATACTGTATATATCATATTGTTAGTGCAGTTTTCACTTATTTCCAATATTGTGGACAATAAATCGTTCCAGAAAAACACTGTAATAATTAATAATGTTTTCACTTTCTTTGGCAATGAATCAAAATATTGCTGCAACATCTGGATCAAGTAATTCTGCATTTTCTCCATAAAGATAGAAAAATAAAAACAACTGAATTTAGTCATATTTAGCTAAAATATGACTTATTCAACCCTCTACAGCACAAGCCTGATTGAATTACTAAAAAAAAAAAACAAAAAAACAGCAGAAATATAGTAGAAAATATAGACAGTATAATTAAAGCCTAAAATATAAGTCCATACATAGTCATCACCGTGGCCTAAACGCATCCTACATCCATGAGAGACAGTACCTGAAGTCCTCCAGGTAGGTGTAGAGGTCTTCATTCTTCAGCAGCTCACAGCGGATGAGGTTGTCCCGCAGCCCGAACTGAGGCATGGCCAAAATCTGAGCTTTGTTTGACGCCGTGTGGCTGGAAGAGCGAACCAGGTCATCCCGGTCCTCCCGACTGGAGATGCCCTGACTGCACATCACAAAGGAGAAGAAGCAGTCAGGCACGGGCACAGACATGGCCGCATAGTACAAAGATTTACAACTTGAGTGGCTTTCCTTTCCCAAACGGAGGTAGATTTCCATTCGAGAAAAGCGCCTGCAGTGTAAGCAAACTACAATGGCTGCAGCTTTGAAGAACCATGACAAATAAATACTTAAATGGCCGTGCAGAGGAGCTATTTCTGATTTGTCGATACAGTATAAAGGGCAGTTGGGGAGAAGAAATCCAAGAACAGACACCCGCAAATCTTCCAGGAATATGCAGAAACCAAATACAAACTCTGACGACTTATTACAGATTATATGGTATATTAATTGTTAAAATATTTGGGTAAAAATGTGATCACTTCTATACCTCTCTTGGCTTGAAGATGTTTTGGTCTTCTGTGGATCAATGTTGGAATTGGTATCCGTGTCTTTTTCGACAGATGCCTTCTGGCCTGATGTTTTTCCTGATGATAAAAAAGAGCAATACATAAATACGTCAATTTCTTTTTGTCAAAATTAGAATATATAATAAAAAGTAAGTAAGTAATGTTTTATCTATATAACGCATTTCACAGACCAAGGTCACCCAAAGCGCTTTACAATGTTCAGAGTTCAGATATTGTTCCAATCATTCCACACACGGTGATGACTGGAGCGAGTCGCCGAACACACTGGACCATCAGCCCAATCAACCCCATCCTTTTACGCTCTCATTGACATTATTGTGCATGTTTTTAGTGGTAGGGGAAACCGGAGCACCCGGAGGCAACCTACGCAGACACAGGCAGAACATGCAAACTCCACTCAGAAAGGCCCTGTTCCGACCGGGATTCTAACCCACGACCTTCTTGCTGAGAGGTGAGAGTGCTATCCACTCAGCCACCGAAAAAGATAGATTACAAGTACTAATGTGTTGATCCAAGTGACATTGTGCTGCTTGTTGAACCACAACTGGAAGCCTTTAGCCATGTTTACATAGTATTAAATTACCACAAGAACATGATTCTTGTGTGCTATATAATCAAAGTGCTGCAGAGTCATCATAAAAACAATACAAGTAAAAAGTCAACATAATAGAATAAGTCAAAAGGAGAAAAAAATACAGAAAAATCGTAGTCTGTACAGCCATAACTACACTACACACATACAGTACATACATATACCCTACAACAACCATCTCAAGAAAAAACTAAGAGTTATTTTGACCATAAACATATGCAGTGACACAGTTGTATGATGAGTCAGAGATGCCATGAGTGATAACACTGTGATCATATCAATAAGTGTGAAGGCTGAGCTGTGGGTTTGGTGTACCAGTTCTGGAACATTGCCTCTTGCTGGTGCCCACAGTGAGAACTAAACATGGGGAGGCTGCATTTCAGATTTATGCAGCTAAAATCTGGAACAGTCTTCCTGAAAGTGTGCGAGAGGCGTCTATACTCTGACAATGTTCAAATCCAGGTTAAAGACTGTTCTGTTTGCCTGTGCATACAACTGAAGGATTTTATCTCAATATTTTAGACAGTGTGGTTATTTATTTATTTATTAATAAAGTTTTAATGGTTTTAATTTTTGTGTGATTTTAATGTTTTAATTGTGATTCTGGCGTTTGATTTATGTGATGATTTGTGCCTTGGGTGATGTGGACTGTGAAGCGCTTCCATGTGTATGAAAGGCGCTCTACAAATAAACTTTGATTGATCATCTTTAACATACAAACAAGATCAAAGTTGAAAACCAAATTTAAGGCAAGAAAGTGCTTAATCTGCAGGGGCTCTGTTGTGTGGACACCCTTTTCAGACGCCTACAGTTTGTGCATTCTAAGTAGCCGGGTTTATGGCCAAGTGTGACGTATGAGACAGCATGCACACTGTTCGCAGCTTGGTGGTGAATGGAGAAGGCCGTCGGGATACGTTTTGAGTAAATAACAAAAAAAGCATTTGTTTTTATCTTCGAAGAGTGAGAAACATTGTATCTGCTGAAAACGATGGAGAACTTTGTTGCTTGATTAGAATTCAGCCGTGATTCAATCATTGATAAAAGTAAATTGAGAAGAGAACATCAAGCAGTAAAACTCTGGAAGATGATTTGGAGCAAAGTGAGATAAGTTATGTTAAGTTTTAAAATGATGTTGCGTGTTTATAGTTGTCAAGATACACTAAAGACTAGATATTTGTTCTCATCTGTCCACACTTTAATGTAGATCAGGCTGTTTTAGGGGTAGACCCTTCAGAACAATAAGTAATTATATTATTATAGTTGTACCAATTTGTAAAAGTTTTTTTTTTCTCCAATAACCAAATAACAAAAGTGCGGAGAGATTATACACAGAAAAATAATCAGAAGTTGTGTCTTTCTAGACTTTAATGTAGATCGGAAATGTGGCTTTTTCTTAGAAGTAGAGGAAGTGCATTCTTTGTGGAAAGATTTGAACAAGGATTACACATAGAATATCCATCCATCCATCCATTTTCTACCCTTTAATCCATTTCTGGGTCAGGGGGGTGGCAATCAGAGATACCACCCAAGTCTCATAGCACCAGCCCCTCACTGACCCTCTGCAGGTGGTGAGTCCACAGGAGGACGGCTGCTCTCTGAGTGCGAGCATAGCCTTGATCTTTCTGGCATAGAATAATAATCAGAAAATGTGTTAATTTATTGTTTAAACTAATACAACTGTTCACCTGGAGGGAAAAAGCAAAAGACATACAAAACAACTAATCAATTAATCTGAGGAATCTTCCTAAAATTAGAATGTAGTACGATAACGCAATTTGAAGATGTATTACTATAGTAAATTGCTCATCCCTGGTCCATCACGTATCTGACAGTAAAATGTATGAGCAAGGAGTAAATTTAGACATATTTCTACTAAGATTAGATTTTTACACATGAGCACCACATTTCACAAGCCGATGTTTACACTGGATCATTTGAAACACCTGAGGAAAGTAGCTTATTCAAACAATGCATATTCCACATTCCTGCTGACATAATGAGCTTAAGACAAAGCCAGAGAGGATCCGATGTATGATACACTAAACACACTCTCTTCTTCTTCTTCTTCTGATCTGTGGTCTACCATAATGCTGCTAAAATGATGGAGTCGTCAGCTACGCGTGAAAACCACAACCGTTGTGTTGCACAAGTTCCACCCAAAGCAATTCACCATGAGGAAATATCAAATAATGCGTACAGAGAGCAGGCAGTGAATTTCAGATAAGATCAGAAAAAGCAAGTAGAATGACTTCAAGAGAAAAGCTTAATTTAGAGCAACTTTTGACTTAAAGCTGGAGGCACTAACTTTGCAACACACATAAATAACTATGTAATAACACCCATTAAACAATTATTTTTGGCCTCTGTCGCATCTGTAGATCATCTTAAGTGAAAAAGAGAATACCAGCCCTCATTCAGCCAATGAGCCACTAAAGATGAAGAATGTTCTGGTCTGATTAGTCCACAAAATATTACTTAAACATAAATATTGATTTATTTGATAGGGACAAGTGTGCACAAGCAACATGTGAAACACTACAACCTTTATAGCCAAGGCTAGTTTGCAAAAGACTAGCTTGTTTTTGTTTCCTATGTCAGGGATGAAGCAGACAGAGAAAGTGTTATGAAATCTCACACCTATATACGTTTTAGAAAATGCAAGGTACTCCAGCTGTATCTATGTACAAGTACAAGTACAAATCAATTTCAATGGATGCATGTAAAATTGAATGAGAAAATGATTAATTATAGCTTAATGTTGACTTCAATGCAATGCTACTCTACCCAGTAAATAGTTATTGCAACAGGTGTTCTCCAGGCTTTGTACAGGCACATCATCTGACTACACTAGCTGAACAAAAACAAAAACAATTGCTGGCATTCATCCTGCAATCTCTACCCATGTGTATCCATCCCAGCCAACATCAACAAGAATGGGCTTTTCCATGATTACAAGTGCAGGTATTGGTTCTGAGACTTGGAACAACCAGTGAGCTCTTCTTTAACTCTTCCTCCTTCCTCGGGCTATCATAATTATAATCCAGACAACGCAATTGAGCCAAATTAGCTTCGTTAGCATTAGCACACAGCAGCTCGCGCGCTAGCATCCAGAGCCCGCGTGCTTCTGCGCGTGGCTTGGATTCACGCTCTGCAAAATGTGTTATAATACAGAACAAATATATTCATACCCGTGTCTTTCACCACCTTAGACATCTCCCTCACCGCTCCCGAGCATTGTGTGAGCAAGGGCAATGTCCACTGTTAGAGACCTGCCCATGATGGGAGGAGTTGCAGAGTTTGCATGCAAGAGGAAAAGGTTTAACGACCCTAAGCAAACTATGGATCTATAATAATATACACACAACATCCAGCTAAAAGCAAGTTAAAGGCAACTATTTGGTTAAAGTTCATTAGTATTCCATGATAACTGAAAAAACAAATACAATGCTTTATGAAGTTGTTTTGATGGGACCCGCCCACTTCCTGGTTCCATAAATAAAATACAGGAGGAGATTAGGGGGAAAAATACGATAAATAAAAAAATATTTATAACTGAGTGAAAAAGAAAAAAATAATTATTATTATTTCGAGGTATATAGGAGAATTTCCCCAAATTTCAGGACAGAACCGCCCTCTCCTCTTTTTTAAAAACCTCTCTGGTCTTGTTTGACGAGACAGTTTCACCAGGATGATTGACGATTAGGAGGACCAATAGTCTTGATGATCCACCCAGAAGTAGACAATCATTTTTAATGAGAACAAGATTGATAGATTTTTCAACAGGTTATCCTATTTCACATGGAGAGTAGTTACCACCAGGTTTAGCTTCCCTTGGTTGTGTCTTCAAACTTACAGTCTATGCATATTATTATTATTATTATTATTATTGTACTTGGAGATTTTGAATGGGGAATTTAACTTCCAGAGCTAAGAGCAGGCTGCTACACAGCTCCTTCTCAGAATTCGCATTAACATATATTTGTGGCCTTTCTAATTTACCAATAATGACACTGCATCTCTGTAAACTTACCACCAGATTTCCTCCTTTGACTGAGTCTTAAAATCTTGGAGCCAAGTGGAGATAACGCCTGTCTGACGCTTCCTTGCACCTTGGTGGCTTTATGGTACTTATCAAGCCATTCAAACTTTGGCACCGGGGCAGAAGACTTGCACACATCTGAAAGAGATTACCAATATAGCATTATAAATAAGGGTACTTTTTTTAATAAAGACATGTACACCTAATATGATACAGGTTAGATATTAAAGTAGCAATATGTAAGATTTTCATGTCAAGTTTTCATTAAAGCGCCCTACTCTGTCTAAAGGCATTAATAAACTATGCTCTTTTCCAATACTTCTTTAATTTAGTACCATATGAACCAGCCCGGACTCTGAGGAGCACAGGGACTGGACTCCTGTTAGTGCCCAGAGTCAGAACTAAACATGGGGAGGCTGCTTTTCAGATTCATGCTGCTAAAATCTGGAACAGTCTTCCTGAAGATGTGAGACAGGCCTCCTCTCTGACAATGTTTAAAACTAGATTAAAGACAGTTCTGTTTAGCTGTGCATACAACTGAGGGATTTAATATTTTTATCTTTCTTTTTAATGTACTGTGATTATTTATGATTTTAATGCTTTCTTGTTTTGTTCAGCACTTTGAGTTGCCTTGTGTATGAATTGTGCTATACAAATAATTGTGCCTTGCCTTGCCTTATTGATAACAGCAGTTCAGTCGAAATAGTTGAATTTCAAGATTAGTTTTACAGCCCCTAAATCTTATTGTTTTCATTTCGATGTCCCGCCCTCCACCGCTTTATTTTATTGCCAAAACTCACCGCATCGAGATAATCTCACTGGTAAAGTACCATGTGGCCTCAGAACTATGAAAGCTCTCATTATAATTCTCAAATAATTATTGACAAAACAAGGATTAAAAGGAGGATTTCGATCTTTGTGAAAAAGGTGTTGGTTATAGATTTGTTGTTGACAAAAATGTTAATTCAGCTGTTATGGTCCCAGCTGGAGTCGTCTGCATATCTGGCAACTTGAGTCTGGGAGAATGGGAGAGGCTGCAGTACCACTTTTGGCCACATGTTTTACATACTGCTCCTTTAAGTTATTCCAATTGTAGTTTTTTACATTTTTAGGGCTTGGGTGTCATACACTGAAACCATACGGATGACACCACATGGGGCTCAGAAGGAATAGACAGAAGCATTAAAAAGCTTATGTGGGCCTACTCCATTAACATAAGTCCATAAGATTATTATGAGTGACAGTTGTGTGTGTGTGTGTGTGTGTGTGTGTGTGCCTGAGGTACGTGGATCCATAGCAATATTATTTTGAAATGGTTGTATTTTAAAACCAAATGACACAAATCCAAGCGATAGAAGAGAAATACTTTGTGATCATCCAGAGAAGCCTTCAGAAGTAACATAAATAGGCCACGACAAAGCAATAACATATATTAGGAGATAACAGTTATGTTTTATCAATACAATTTTGGAATACTCTGTAATCATTCATGTTTTAGAATTGTGATCATGAAACAGAACGCTGAGAAAGTGAGATACAAAGTTAAGAGAACTTTGAAGAAAAACATGTTTGCCTTCACAGGACATTACCAATAAATCCTACCTTGTTTCTTTTTTACACTTTTACTTTTGATGACAGATGATAAATTGCTTAAATGGTCCATCCTTTAAATTCCCCAGGACTTTTTGCTATATCCATAATAGAGCAACATACTAGTTTGTTGTGTCCATATTGTTGCGGATAATGCCGAACAAGGCCTATTTAGGTTGAAGTATACTCCAAAATGTTGTTATAAAATAAAACAAGATCCAAATATTGTGTAAATCCAAAAATGACAAGAGACATGTTTCTTGTGCCTCTTTCGTTTCCTTGAGGCAAATGTTTGCTGAGACTCACTCACCTGCAAACTCCTCCTTCTTTTGCCTACTCATCACTCTGTGGGAATTTTAGACACGGATGCTAAACTGAGACAAGTAGAATATCTGGCAATCCAAGCTCAAAACTTTAAGCATAAAGAATGTTTTAGCACAGTTTAGAATAGTCACATTTTGGTTAATAATACTCAGGAAATACATTCACTAATATTATGCAACCTTAAGGCATTGTTTGACTTGCTTTACCGGTTTGTGCTGATAGCTACAATAGATAGTTTGTTCTGTTTTCTCATAAGATTCTTTCTCCTTCTGTATTCTGTCTAAGGGACGCAATGGCATTGTTAGTAACAGTTGAATATTAATAACTATGGCGCCTCGAATGTAGTGCTGCAATGATTCTGTTGATTCGTAGTTTGTGGTGCTGTAAAGTGAGTCAGCTACATACCACTCCAGGCCTTGTTGACCTCACTGAGGAAGTGACGCGACTGAGACCCAAAAGGAAGTCGGAGCTCCACTTCAGACTCGAGAAAGCTGATTCTTATTCTTATGTCAGCCCCTGTCAGAAATGCAAATAATGCTAAAGTAAAGTTTATTCAAAGAGACACTATATGAATTTGTTAAACTATATCTTACCAACAACAGCAAGTTCCTCAGGGGAAGACACTTCACAACACAACATGGTTAGATTGGGCTGTACTTCCACTTTGCCATAATTAAGAACTTACCTTCCACAACCTCAAAATCTGTAGAGATAGGAATAATATCCTCCAGAGAAACATCATCTGCAGTGATGGCCATTCTCCGATGGCTGTACAGGAAAACTCTGCAAAACAACAAGAGAATAAGGATTGTACATTTTCTCTTCACTGTTAACTTGAAACAGAATGTTTACTCACGCATATTCCTTTTCTGATTCCACCAGCCCCAAGAGTTTGCTCTCAATCACATCCTCACAGAGGACATCACACTGGACGGCATGATAAGAGTCAGGACAATATAACAACAGTAACACATGGAGGAGAATGTTGAGATGATGGTTGAACAAACATCTGACATCACAGTGTCATGAACACACGGGTTTCTGAATGACTGCCGTTGATTGCAATTAACAATTCAAAACTATATCATATGAAATGGGAAACTGTCTAATTTAAAGATAATGTTTAAAGCACAAGACGGATGGGGGAAGAAGCATGATATGTTTTATGAATCCCGCTTGTGTGGCGCAGGCAACACTGTTGCAATACAGCCACCTTGTGGCTCTAAGCAGTATTACAACGAAAAGACGACACGTCAAACTAGAGTAAAACCATGCCCCAAAGTTAACAACATGAATAGTTCAATAATGAACGCATTCACGCATTCAAATAGAATTCGCTAGGAATTCACGGTTGGTCCATAGTCAATTTAAACAAACAACCACCCCCAAAAAACCATAAACAAATAAATAAACACTAAATACTAAATCTAGAATCTGAATCTGAACAGGCGGCATTTAAGAACCAAAGCAAGGATACTATGAGGCAGTTTTCTTCCCTTTGCAAAGTTTCTTGAATCGCGACGGACTGGTCCATAGTGAAGTCTGACAGCTCTTCTCTCACGGTCACTCTCAGAAAGTATCGTTCACAGATCCATATTCTACTGGAGTAAAGTTACATCCATGTTAGATCCATGTTAGATCCGTGTTAGATCCATGTGCGCTGAGGGCCAAGGAAAGCCAGTGTTCCTGTTCGACCCAGATGCGTCGTTGAACTTTTCCTCCGGAGCTCCTCTCTGGTACAGTCTGGACCCAGCCCGTCCCGTCCCGGACTACAGTCTCTGGTCCCGGACCGAACTGCCACGCACTGATTCACCACCAGCGTCTGACGTCACGGATTGAGCCGTGGGATTATTGAGCTCTGGTTATATTTGTGGTGTGTATGTGTAAGAACAGCAGTCTAAAGACACAGTGTGTACGCCCGTGACTCAAAGGCAAATCTGAACCAAATGCAGTGTGTGTGATAAAGATTCATATTGTTGTTATTGGTGAGACAGACACAGCCTCTGTCCCTATACCTATATCTGTTGCATTATTGAATGTCAGGCAATCTCAGTTTGTGAGCACATATTGAAATATAAATTTAAAGCTGGGGTACCTATCTTTGATCGAGGTATAATATATGTAACAAAAGATAAAACAGTTGTTTCTGCATATATTTTTTCTCTGTGAGGAAAAAGAGAGGACCATCCAAACTTATCAAATCACTCTCAGTATGTTAAAGAAGTTTTCTAATGAGATGAAGGCAGGATGCTGGTCTGACTTCACACAATGTTACTTAAACAAGATTATTTTGGTTGAAACAAACAAAATGTATTTGTTAAATAAATAAAAAAGTTTGAATTGGCCTACAAGAAGAAATTCTGGAGCTCTTAAAAGGACTCGCTCTGTATATAATCTGACTTTTAAAACTTTATATTCAGCTATAGCATGCTGTCTCATTTATAGACAACTTGTGTACATCATTGTGTGTTAATGAGACAGGTTTTGTTTTAACCACCCTTCCCTCAAAGATTTTGAAGTTGGTGACTATGGTGTTTTTTACTTAAACAGTTTTGATCTGCCCTGCTTGTTTCATTAACCTTTAACACAGCAATTCAACAATTATATCAGGAATTAAAGTTTATTATACTTTTATTACATACGTTACATTTGTCTGTGTTTTGTACAGGGTAAAATAGCTTCTACAAAAGTCGTATAAAGTGCTCACAATATTTTTTCTGTGTAGTTCTCACAATGGCTTCAAAAGTCTGCATAACCATAAAAGTAACATTATTCATAGGAGTGCCTTTGCAAAGCTTTCCTCTTAAAGTTAAGACACAGTGGTATGCAGTGAAACAACAGCACAACAGATGAAGTGGTGAAGGATTTAAGAGGAAACCATGACCTCTTTCTAACAAATATACATACAGAGCAGCTTATCGTCATGGAATCAGTTCAGAATAAATTTAGTTTATATTCATATTTATTTTCTTTAAAAATACTGTCCAAAAACCGTTTTAAATTGGCCTTGAACTTCAAAAGAAAAATGGGAACAAACCAAACAGCAACAGAAATGCAGTAAAACCCCCACTTTTTTGTACATATTAAACAATGCAACTACACTCTGACTTATATAAGCAAGCTAAAAGCAAAAACGAGCAGAGCAGAAGAGATAACAAATGGTGGCTGCAGATGGGGCCCTCTTGTGGCGAAAGAGGGAACGTTCAGTGTGCCATTCAGCCACAAGCAGGAGCTCATGGTGGCATTGCAGCACTCGAGGTGGCACGGAGGCTGGGTAGAGGCTTTGCACGAAGTCTGTCCCGAGCAGTTGGTGGTGCATCCAGCGGTCCACTGCAGGCCGCTCCCAACCGTCTCCTTTTTCAACTGACGGAGAGGAAAACCAAAACAGGAATTACAACAACATCCATCCATCCATTTTATTCCGCTTTATCAGTAGCCGGGTTGCAGGTGCCTAAGCAGAGACGCACAGACTATACCCTATAACCACACACGCACTTTCTCCAGCTCATCCAGATTCAGATCAGATACAGATGAATTTATTTGCCATTTGCAGTAAAACCACATTGGAATACATATGCAAAAGTCCCCAGTGTGCACAAGACAAGTAGAGAAATCGATCGAAAATAACAGTTTCAATACAAAGGCAAGATCATTAAAGTGCTCTGTTCAAACTGATAACAGCTTGTGGGAAGAAGCTGTTAGTATATCGAGATGTCCTGCATCTCAGAGAACGATGTCTTCTGCCAGAAGGAAGAAGATGGAACAAGGCTTTTCCAGGGTGGCCAGAAGAGTCATTGATTATTCTAAGAGCTTGGTTTAAAAGTCTGGATTTATAAAGAACCTCCAGAACAGGAAGCTCACAGTCCTCTCTCTGGTCTCTCTGACTGGTCTCTGTCTGGTCTCTCTCTAGTCTCTCTCTAGTCTCTCTCTGGTCTCTCTCTAGTTTCTCTCTGGTCTCTCTCTGGCCTCTCTCTCTGGTCTCTCTCTCTGGTCTCTCTCTCTCTGGTCTCTCTCTCTGTTCTCTCTCTCTGGTTTCTCTCTCTGGTTTCTCTCTGGTCTCTCTCTGGTCTCTCTCTCTCTGGTCTCTCTCTCTGGTCTCTCTCTCTGGTCTCTCTCTCTGTTCTCTCTCTCTGGTCTCTCTCTCTCTCTCTGGTCTCTCTGGTCTCTCTCTGGTCTCTCTCTCTGGTCTCTCTCTCGTCTCTCTCTCTCTGGTCTCTCTCTGTTCTCTCTCTCTGGTTTCTCTCTGGTCTCTCTCTGGTCTCTCTCTGGTCTCTCTCTCTGGTCTCTCTCTCTCTGGTCTCTCTCTCTGTTCTCTCACTCTGGTCTCTCTCTCTGGTTTCTCTCTGGTCTCTCTCTGGTCTCTCTCTGTTCTCTCTCTCTGGTTTCTCTCTGGTCTCTCTGACTGGTCTCTGTCTGGTCTCTCTCTAGTCTCTCTCTAGTCTCTCTCTGGTCTCTCTCTGGTTTCTCTCTGGTCTCTCTCTGGTCTCTCTCTCTGGTCTCTCTCTCTCTATGGTCTCTCTCTCTGTTCTCTCTCTCTGGTCTCTCTCTCTGGTTTCTCTCTGGTCTCTCTCTGGTCTCTCTCTGTTCTCTCTCTCTGGTTTCTCTCTGGTCTCTCTCTGGTCTCTCTGTCTGGTCTCTCTCTAGTCTCTCTCTAGTCTCTCTCTGGTCTCTCTCTGGTTTCTCTCTGGTCTCTCTCTGGTCTCTCTCTCTGGTCTCTCTCTCTGGTCTCTCTCTCTGGTCTCTCTCTCTCTCTGTTCTCTCTCTCTGGTCTCTCTCTCTGGTCTCTCTCTGGTCTCTCTCTGGTCTCTCTCTGGTCTCTCTCTCTGGTCTCTCTCTCGTCTCTCTCTCTCTGGTCTCACTCTCTGTTCTCTCTCTCTGGTCTCTCTCTGGTTTCTCTCTGGTCTCTCTCTGGTCTCTCTCTCTGGTCTCTCTCTCTGGTCTCTCTCTCTCTGGTCTCTCTCTCTGTTCTCTCACTCTGGTCTCTCTCTCTGGTTTCTCTCTGGTCTCTCTCTGGTCTCTCTCTGTTCTCTCTCTCTGGTTTCTCTCTGGTCTCTCTCTCTGGTCTCTCTCTCTGGTCTCTCTCTAGTCTCTCTCTAGTCTCTCTCTGGTCTCTCTCTGGTTTCTCTCTGGTCTCTCTCTGGTCTCTCTCTGGTCTCTCTCTCTGGTCTCTCTCTCTGGTCTCTCTCTCTGGTCTCTCTCTCTGGTCTCTCTCTCTGGTCTCTCTCTCTGTTCTCTCTCTCTGGTCTCTCTCTCTGGTTTCTCTCTGGTCTCTCTCTGGTCTCTCTCTGGTCTCTCTCTCTGGTCTCTCTCTCGTCTCTCTCTCTCTGGTCTCACTCTCTGTTCTCTCTCTCTGGTCTCTCTCTGGTTTCTCTCTGGTCTCTCTCTGGTCTCTCTCTCTGGTCTCTCTCTCTGGTCTCTCTCTCTCTGGTCTCTCTCTCTGTTCTCTCACTCTGGTCTCTCTCTCTGGTTTCTCTCTGGTCTCTCTCTGGTCTCTCTCTGTTCTCTCTCTCTGGTTTCTCTCTGGTCTCTCTCTCTGGTCTCTCTCTCTGGTCTCTCTCTAGTCTCTCTCTTGTCTCTCTCTGGTCTCTCTCTGGTTTCTCTCTGGTCTCTCTCTGGTCTCTCTCTGGTCTCTCTCTCTGGTCTCTCTCTCTGGTCTCTCTCTCTGGTCTCTCTCTCTGGTCTCTCTCTCTGGTCTCTCTCTCTGGTCTCTCTCTCTGTTCTCTCTCTCTGGTCTCTCTCTCTGGTTTCTCTCTGGTCTCTCTCTGGTCTCTCTCTGGTCTCTCTCTCTGGTCTCTCTCTCGTCTCTCTCTCTCTGGTCTCACTCTCTGTTCTCTCTCTCTGGTCTCTCTCTGGTTTCTCTCTGGTCTCTCTCTGGTCTCTCTCTCTGGTCTCTCTCTCTGGTCTCTCTCTCTCTGGTCTCTCTCTCTGTTCTCTCACTCTGGTCTCTCTCTCTGGTTTCTCTCTGGTCTCTCTCTGGTCTCTCTCTGTTCTCTCTCTCTGGTTTCTCTCTGGTCTCTCTCTCTGGTCTCTCTCTCTGGTCTCTCTCTAGTCTCTCTCTTGTCTCTCTCTGGTCTCTCTCTGGTTTCTCTCTGGTCTCTCTCTGGTCTCTCTCTGGTCTCTCTCTCTGGTCTCTCTCTCTGGTCTCTCTCTCTGGTCTCTCTCTCTGTTCTCTCTCTCTGGTCTCTCTCTCTGGTTTCTCTCTGGTCTCTCTCTGGTCTCTCTCTCTGGTCTCTCTCTCGTCTCTCTCTCTCTGGTCTCTCTCTCTGTCTCTCTCTCTGGTCTCTCTCTGGTTTCTCTCTGGTCTCTCTCTGGTCTCTCTCTCTAGTCTCTCTCTCTGGTCTCTCTCTCTCTGGTCTCTCTCTCTGTTCTCTCACTCTGGTCTCTCTCTCTGGTTTCTCTCTGGTCTCTCTCTGGTCTCTCTTTGTTCTCTCTCTCTGGTTTCTCTCTGGTCTCTCTCTCTGGTCTCTCTGTCTGGTCTCTCTCTAGTCTCTCTCTGGTCTCTCTCTGGTTTCTCTCTGGTCTCTCTCTGGTCTCTCTCTCTGGTCACTCTCTCTGGTCTCTCTCTCTGGTCTCTCTCTCTGGTCTCTCTCTCTCTCTCTGGTCTCTCTCTGGTCTCTCTCTGGTCTCTCTCTGGTCTCTCTCTGGTCTCTCTCTGGTCTCTCTCTCTGGTCTCTCTCTGGTCTCTCTCTCTGGTCTCTCTCTGGTCTCTCTCTGGGCTCTCTCTGGTCTCTCTCTGTCTCTCTCTGGTCTCTCTCTGGTCTCTCTCTGGTCTCTCTCTCTGGTCTCTCTCTCTGGTCTCTCTCTCTCTGGTCTCTCTGTCTGGTCTCTCTCTAGTCTCTCTCTGGTCTCTCTCTGGTCTCTCTCTGGTCTCTCTCTGGTCTCTCTCTCTGGTCACTCTCTCTGGTCTCTCTCTCTGGTCTCTCTCTCTGTTCTCTCTCTCTGGTCTCTCTCTCTGGTCTCTCTCTGGTCTCTCTCTGGTCTCTCTCTGGTCTCTCTCTGGTTTCTCTCTGGTCTCTCTCTGGTCTCTCTCTGGTCTCTCTCTGGTCTCTCTCTCTGGTCTCTCTCTGGTCTCTCTCTCTGGGCTCTCTCTGGTCTCTCTCTGGTCTCTCTCTCTGGTCTCTCTCTGGTCTCTCTCCTTTCTTTGTCTGTGATGTTATCAAACCACACAGTCACAGAACCAACAAGTAAACTCTCAATGGTGCATCGATGAAAGTTAAGCAGAATCTTAGAGTTAGTGGTAAATTCTCTAAGTTTTCGCAGAAAGTAGAGACGCTGACGAGCTTCCTTAACAACCCGGTTATTGTTTTTGTCCCATTTCAGGTCGTTAGACAGAGTTAAACCACGGAGGGAATACCGAGGCGTTCCCCGGCCCCGTCCAACGTGCCTGGGTCTGAATGTCACTTTATTATTACCCTGCCCTTTATGTATATAACTTTACACTATAGATATTTTGAAAGATTCATATCAAACTAGGACTGAAAAACCTGCACTGCTATTGCCACTCTTTCTTTAATTGCCACTATTTTATTGTGCATAATTATAACCTGCACAGACTATATTTTTTACATTTAACATGTTTGCACACTTCTGTCTTCGGCAAAATCTGAGTGATTCTATCTGTACCAAATGAGACATGTACATTTCTCCAGCGTGAGATCAATAAAGTCTATCTTATCTTGAAGCATTTACAGCTAGCAAAGAAACATGCAGCTACTTATTTTGTTTATTCTGTATATTTTGTGTGCTCTCACTACTGTCCTGTATGTGCGCTGCAACATTGAAATTTCACCGCTTTGGGACGTATAAAGGATCTATTATCTGATCTGTCTTCTCCTTGTCTATTTCCTGTGGGACATGCCCAGATCACCCACACAGAGAGGCGTCCAGGAGGCATTCGGAACAGATGCCGCAGCGGCTCTATTCCGAGCTCCTCCCGTGTGACTGAGCTCTTCACCCTATTTCTAAGGGAACGCGCAGCCACTTTACAGCAGATAAGATCGTCCTTTTGGGTTATAATACATACAACATAAGCAAATGTGCCTGTATAAACTGTACAGAGATCTTACCTCACAGTGTGGTTGTGATGAAGAGCAAACCTCGGCTGTTTGAAAACTTTTGTAGCAGTCGGTGCTAGTACATATTCCTCTGTGACATTTATTTCCCTAAAAAAGGAATAGGAATCATTATTATAAGTGAACGTGGATGCATTTATTTTATTTTCGGAGAGACTTACTCCTTGTGTGGTTGGGGCAGTCATGGTGGTAGATGTTGCTCTGCTAGTTGTGGTCATCACTAAAACATTATACACACAATTTTGTACTGTAGCCATCTGTAAACTCAATTATGATATCCCTCGAAATTAAATAAGTACAACGGTAAGTGATTGTAGGAACCTAAATAGAGGTTTAGTTTAGTTTGATTTTATTTTGATACATTTCTATTTGTTTGTATTATCATTTGATTTGAAATACATTATTTTTGTGATTAGATTTATGATTAATTGGCAATTGATTTAATTTTGATATTATGCATCTAATTTAGTTAGCTGTTTTGTAAGTCATTATTGCTAAGTTAATCATTGATTTATTTTGATTTAATATATATTTTTGTATTTTTTCTCAGTCCTGGCCCTAGTTAAGGTGCAGGTGTGCCAGGGAAAGCGTGGAGTGTGGAGTGGAGCCACACAGTTTTTTGACCTCGATACTCTCTCGATACACTCTCTCCTCTAGTTATTTTCTTTTTGTACAGTATGTGTTTTTGTTTTGTGAATACTCAGTAAAGAGTTTTTAATTGCATTTTACTGTTCCCTGGATTTATTCACTCACTTTACACACTATATGGATTATGAGAGCGTCAACTACATGGCTTCACTGTTTGGACCCTACAGTGATGTTTGTTCTGTGCATACAACTGAAGGATTCTATCTTCATTGTTTGTAACGTACTGTGATAATTTATGATTGTAATGTGTGATTTGTATTTATGTTCTTGTTTTGTTAAGCATTTTGAGTTGTGTTATGTATGAGCTGTACAAATTAACTTTCCTTGCCCACTAAATCCAGTTTGTATTGGGTCGCGGCTTGGCATCATTTGCTGATGGTCCCAACATTGTTCCAATTTAGAACCACTAATCTACAGAACAGGCAATGGATGGAATCTGTAGAATTATGATGGAATTTACAGGATCTACCGCACATATGTTCACATGCAGACCACTATGCAGCTCAAGTGAAAAGCGAGAGTGGCATAGATATGTATAGCATTTACATGAAGGCATAAGCTGTGTACCTGGTGTTGTTGCCATCATCATCATGGAGGCAAAAGTATCGTTGAGACAGCTGGTGGAATTGCAGCAGTCGACAGAGCAGTTGCTTTGAGAGGTGTTGCTACAGCTCATAGAACAGGAGGCGCTGCAGCTAACTATGTAGCAAACCCCCATCTGTTTTATCAACTGTAACATGGCAAAAGACAAACGTAACACACACACGAGTGAATCTGAATCGGAAAGGAATACAACTTTTTGCCTACCTCACAATAGTTGAGACCAGCAGGACACATGGTGGTGTTTTGACTCATGTACATAGAGTAGCAGTCGGAGTAATTACACATGAATGAAGGACAAGATAGCTATCGAGAATACAGACAGAATCATTATAATATAACAATAATATCTATGTTTACTGTTCTGAGTGACAGGTCCTTACAGAGCTCATTGAAGAATTATTCCAAGTGGATCCATTTGTCCAAACCCCTGTAATGAGATTTAGTTGAACATTTTCCTTGGTATTTTAATCTTGCCAAATATCTTACCAGTGTTGCTGCCCATGCCGGTGGTGTTCATCGAAGAGCTGGTTGTATTAACTGCTCATCATTAAACACAAAAAGACATTTTGTTTTAAGAGACCATAGTTTGTACCGATATTCTAGCTTAGTAAAGCCAGGCATGCTTGTTCCGCGTGAAAGCGAGAGGGTCCTCAGGGTTTCTGGGACAGGTTTACTGTGCGTTCCAAACATCAGGACCAAAACGAGTGAGGCAGCATTTCGTTTTTATGGTCCTCATCTCTGGGACATTCTTTCACATCAATTGAAAACTATTTCAACCATAAATCAGTTGAAATCAGGCCTTAAAACATGGCCAAAGCATTGCTATGAATATTATTACTCCTGTATTGTTTTCCAGTGTTCTTTCTGTGTCTGTTAAACTTCCTGGGTTGCTTTGCATGAATGGTGCTGTATAAATACATTTGCTGTGTCTTCCCATTTTATGCCTACATTTTTCTGTACACAATTTCAGCCTTTGCAATTATGTCAACACTTTCAATTTCAACGCCAACACTATGTCATTCTTGATCATTTCTTTGCCGCACTGATTTAGAGAAAACTCCTGTTTTCTCAATGGGTACATATTGATCTTGCAATAACTCAGACATTCAAATACCTCCAGCTGATGTAGAACTGGACTGAGTAGCAGATCCTGTGGTGACACCTGTGGGAGGGCCCGTAGATGATACTGCAGTGGTCCCTGCAGCTGTGGTTGTGGCTGCAGGAGCCGAAGTTGTGGCAGCTGATGTGGTAGCAGGTGTGGTGGTAGCTGTGGAAGCAGGTGTGGGGGTAGCTGTGGAAGCAGGTGTGGGGGTAGCTGTGGAAGCAGGTGTGGTGGTAGCTGTGGAAGCAGGTGTGGGGGTAGCTGTGGAAGCAGGTGTGGGGGTAGCTGTGGAAGCAGGTGTGGGGGTAGCTGTGGAAGCAGGTGTGGTGGTAGCTGTGGAAACAGGTGTGGGGGTAGCTGTGGTGGTAGCTGTGGAAGCAGGTGTGGGGGTAGCTGTGGTGGTAGCTGTGTATATAAATAAACTTAAAAGGAACAGCTGCCAGGTTCCTAATAAAAATACAAAAACAAAGGAATATGTACAATTAAGATATAGGCGTCTTAAAATTCTTGATAAGCTAGTTTTGTAATCTAAACCTATTGACATTTGAAAATGGAATTTTTTTGCAGTGACATTAGAACATGCTGCTGGTGAAATCTGTACCTGCAGCCTTCAACTATTAGTTGCACGCTTCACAGATCTGACCTTCATGGACGACATGTATCATCATGGACGAATTGTTTAATAAAGTGGTAGCTGTAAGATACTTGTTCTAGTTTGCCCTATAGGAGGACAAAACATCTTTCTTCATTACCAAAGCATTACCAGATAATGCAGTGACTATAACACGTAATCTGTACATGCATGGCAAGAGGCAAGAAGAAATGAAATATTTTGCCAAAGAACGCGATAAAATGTGGAAGAAAGTGCTTTGGTCAAATGGTTTAATGAAACCAACCTTGCCCCTTAAGCAAGGTTATGTTTACTGCAAGACTGACATGCTCATCACGGGGAGTTATGGTGGGGGGAGCATCATGCTATGGGCCTACTTCTCTTCAAAACTCTGTTGAAGGTTCTCCACTTAAGATGAATGGGCTAAACCTTCAGTCTCTAGATGTGTAAAGCTTGTAGGGTCATACCAAACAGACTTGCTGCTGTGATTGCAACATGGGCTCATACTTCCACAAAGTACTCACTTTTATTTTCTAATATAACATAATCATCTTTCATTATCTTTCATTTGACAGTTGCTGTGGCTTTGTTGTGGTCAAATCTGTGTTTGTGTTTATTATACGACATAATTAGCCACTGTTTGGATAAGATTGAACCAACCAGGTTGAGGGGATATATTGCATCCAGCTGTTCTGACAGTAATAGCAAAATATAAAAAATATTGTGGTATTTAGAAAATATAATGCAGATAATTACCTTTTAAAGCAGTGGAAGTCATTGTAAAACCCCCGACTTTTGATCCAACCTATAAAACAACAGCAGTGTTATTTGGCACCAATTATTACGTCCCCAAAAACAGAATGTGCATTGTCCACTATATTTATATAATATATGAAAATATAAAACCAAAAATACCCTCTCATTGCTAAAAAATAGGCTCCAATAATAAAGTAGCCATTTTTACAGAAAAAAGTAGTACTTTATGGAGATACCACAAAATCAAAAACTTGTTAATGAGATATTCTCTCCAAGTATATTTACTATAAACCTGTTATCTGATCCTTTTCTCCCCACATGGAGGAGGTTAGGGCTAAACACACATTATAGTTACCCTTGTATGTTTGTGTGTTTATATTAGCCAGAGCTGATGCCATGCAGCTTTGTAATGTGCCTGAGTTTATTAGAGAGCACAATTAAAACATGTTTGTTCCTCTCATCTGGTGCCTTGGGAAATCTGATGAGCAGCATGGCTTGTTTTTTTTCTCTTTCCCTTGGATCCCAGCTCGGCCTCCTGCGGCCCGTGCACCGTGGAAACGCCAGTAACAACAGTGGCCATCATGACATCTCCGAGATGGAAATAATCATAACTTAATTATGAATACAATAACAATCGTATATAGTAAAACAAGTGCTTAAAGTTCCGCAGGGTAGAAACCATGGGCTAAACAGTCTGTTGCTGGTTTTAAATACAAAAACATGTGTCTTCACTGTGAGCAGACTTTTATCCATAAACCTGACTTAGACCCTCTTGCTTGTTTCCATGGAAATAGATCGTCTGTTCATAATTCTCCATAGTACAGATAGATAGATAGATACTTTATTGATCCCTGTCGGAGAAATTGGCATAAACGTGTCCATTGTTATGAAATGATTAACAAAACCTATAGCAAGTGATCATGATCTATAACGTTTTTATAGGACATCATGTGACTTCTTCATGGCCAGATACAAAAAGTTAGAGTACCAAACATGTACAATTATGTAAAATGTAATATAAATCAAACCTGACCACCCAAATGGCTCAAAATACATATACATGATGCACAACAGCGCTGTGAAATTATAACTTATTTGCATCACTTTTTAACATAGCATACACAAGTTCTTCAAACATAACTACTTTTGCGTAACCTATTTTCTAGTGAACATAACCTTTGCTTACTTTCTGGACTGCTTCTATGACCCTGATGCTGATCCTCGACACACAACACCAACATCCACTACCGTTTCACCAAATTGGAAAGGAAATGTATAGATTCCAAAGTGTGTGGGAGCAGTGGACTCACCTGTTGTGCTCCGTCGGTGTCAGCTGCAGTTGAAGTGAATGGGCCCTGTGTGGGTACCTCTGAGGTCGCGTCGCTTCCTTCACTTCCTGCTGACTCTCGAGGAGACTTTGTGGAAGTGGAAACTGGTGTACTGTATGTACCATCCCGGGGAGGAGGAGGAGAAGAAGTGCCACCGGTTGCTGGGCGGGTCTACAGATGCCTGGAATCGTGACCCTGTTGTTGTTGGGAAAGTTTAGAAAGACATTGTAAAATCGTGGTAATTATGCTTTGATTTGTACTATTATAAACAACTTTTCACATCATAATAGCTGCATATTTGATATTCTGCATTACTTTTAATTACAAGGTTATGGTTGTAGTAAGATTCGCAAAGACTCCCTTACCTGCAATTAAAGATTTACAGAAATAACTCAGTGGATGTAGATGTTTTTTCATTCAGAGCCCGCAGGTGAGATTTCATTTCCTGGTGCGCTGATTGTATAGGAAACCTCTTAGTTTCTGTTCAACACAATGTGAAATCAGAGCCCTTCTCGCTCCCAGCTATAAAGCCCCCACACACTACAATTACCTCTTTGTGGCCCTAAAGAAAAGTAGAATTCTCGAGCACGGCAGAAACGCATTGCACAATTGAGGTGAGAAAGTGTTCAGTTTTTTCATAGTGAGACAATGAGAAAAAATGATGATGGATTAACAAAGAAACGGTGTGATTTATGCATGTTTTGATATTGTTGATTTGAAAAGGATAAAACAAACTTGTATGCGTCATAAAAAAGTTATCTTGTCATCTATCTATTATGTCCTGCCAGAATTGATTGAACATATAGCGAAAAGTATTTTTTCATGTTTTGATAAGTACTGTAAGTGTTTTCTGAATACCGCTAAAGGAAAAAGGTAAATCTTATACCTAAAAATTGTGTTCTGAATGTAAAAATGTAACGTTTATTTGTAGTGCCACAGACCACAATCACAAAGCATTTCACAAAACTTCAGAAAAACATACCAAGAAAAATAATCAGAGTCAAAAAATTTAAATACAGACGCATCTACAGTATATACCCAATCCATGTCATCCATTCCTCTACAACACTTTCTGTATTGAGCCATGACCTTGATCGGAGCGTGTTATTTCTGAAAGATTCTGGTTTGAGTGTCGGGGTGGACGACCTGGAATGACACGGTTCAGGGCATGAGCTGTTGACTTCCTACAGACGCTTGTTTACAGCGGCGGCCACAGCGGTCACTGAGGCTTTCACTCACACCGTATCCCCGCTGGCTCATGTTTCACCCGGATTCACAGAGTTCTGGAGAAGGGAAAGGTGACAGTAAATATAAGTGCTCAGGTATTTGTAATTGAAGAGTTAATTTTTGCTTTGAAAATGTGTTAAAAAGGTTGTTATGAGCAGTGAATATGAAAGAATTTGCTCAAGGAGTAAAACTATCTTATTTATTTCTTTATTTATTTGATAGGGACAATGCACATTAATGAACATCAGTATAAAACAAATGTAAATATGCCGGATTATAGCTACAAAGCTAGTTTTCATCCGTAAAACTATGGCACTAAAATAGATCTGTCTTAAAACTCCTCGGTAAAGGGCTAATTCTAAGCCTTTAAAACTACTATTATCTGTTTTTGCAAATAAACTATTAAAATAAGAAAATAATTAAGTATTTACTACACATACTAGTTTTGTGATTAGGGTTTTTAGACATTTTTGAAGTCTTGATGATTCCATGTTCAAAGACAATGAATGTATTAGTACCTCTTCAAGCCACAATATAAGTACGCAAACATGCCAATAAATATCATTCTAATGCAATCTTTGTCTTGAGTCTTTCCAGAATTCAATAGCAAAGAGAAAACCCAAAATACATGTATCTGGATATATATCTGTGGATAAATCAGTAATCCACAGCGCTGCAACCCAAAAACACGGCATCAGTAACAGCCCAGTTTATTACTGACTTTTTTCTATCATTATCTACAGTATGTGAGGTATTGTCAAAAGCAACGAGATGAGCCAAAGTGCACCGATCATGTTGCGTGTGTGAGTTTCAGGGATGACTGCAGAACTGTGCTCAATCCCTGTTTATGGATCTGCATGATTACAGCAGAAATGATTGTAAGTAAGGGATATTTATCTATGTAGCGCTGATATTGGAATGTAAGTTAAGTTATCATTTTGGTAAATCATATGTGGCTATGTGCTGAATGCTCTGTATTGTAATTCACTTTAGCTCCAGCAAAACTCGGGGAGGTCTGGGGAGCTCATATGTTAAACACCAGAGGAAGCAGTCTTTGTATACGCTAATTCGGAGTGTCTTTTGTTGTGTTGGTTTCTTCCTTTCCCATCTGCATACGAAGGTGTGTCTTCCTCTACCAAAAGGGGCTTGCAGACTGTGAATCTTCAGACTTGTCCTGAGAGAGGCTGGGGTCTGTGCCTTGCCTCTGTCAAGACATTCTCCTTGTACAATGTAACAAGTAAAAGGTTAACTTTGTCTCTTTGTTGTGTGAGATTTCATCAGGTTCAACTGTGGTAGAAACAGCATTATCAAGCGCCTTTCACAGACCAGAGTCACAAACCGCTTTACAATTGTTGTGGGCATTTCTCTCTCACTCCACACAGAGATGGGAAATGCCAGAACTATTGTGTTTGTTTTTAGTGGTAGGGGAAACCGGAGCACCCAGAGGAAACTGGAGCAGACACAGGGAGAACATGCAAACTCCACACAGAAAGGCCTGTTAGGATTTAAGCAGACAGAGACGGATCGTGGTGTGCCAAACTCTGGAAGTTTATTTAAGTTGCTCTCAAGTTCCACTGGTTTACTCTGTTTCTTTCCCTCAGACAGAATAAAGGCAGTACACAGTTTATATAGTCATTGTCACGTCACACATGGAAAGACATACGTGTCACAAAGAGACAGTCACATCAGAGTCATAACATGGAGTCCTTGTACAGTCCTGCACGTAGGCCATATTGCTATCTAATACTAATAGGCCTACGAGCTATCAAACCTGGCCACCATTGCATGTGGAGATAAAAAAAATATAGTCCCTACAATTATAAAGAAGTTTTAATTTTAAGTCAGAGTACCTTAGACTTTTTCTCTATCCCTGTTAACAACGCTAAGAAAAGTTGTTGACAATCCTTTCGTTGCCTCCTGTGGTGCTGAACAAAACACATTAGGCAGAGTTTACAAGTGATCTGTTGAAACTGTGGAACTAATAAGATTAGCCTAGCCAGATTTAGCTAGTCAGCAGCAGCCACGCAGACACAGCCTCCGGTGCGTGGCAACAGAACAGGGCGACTGAGCTGTGCTGGACATTCACATTCAGTGGACGGGGACAAAAAAACCCATTGACCAATCATGGATCAGTGATTTTTTTTTAATTTTGTTACGATTACATCATATTCTCTGCAGGTCAGTGTCTATATGAAATTCACATTCATACACATTGACTTTGTTTACATTGGATTTCATTTCCAATCCTGCAGCTTTAGCTCGCCTCCATGCAATAATGTAAAGTGATTATATATTCCTGCCATGGCCGATGTGCTGTGGCCTGTGTGTGCCTGGACTTTCAAGGGGATTCTTTGCACTTGCAGGTTCCTCTGGGTGAGTATGTACTGTGAATCAGTGTTTGTGACTATAGTAACATTTTGTTTTTTACACAGATATGTCCGTATAATGCAGTTCATTTCCTGCCAAGAGAAAGACAAAAAAACAAGTACACAGAGAGGCAGCCAAAAGGAAGTAAGGGGAATAATCTTGCAGCAGTGGCATTAGTAAAAGCTCTGATATAGCAGCAGTATACAGTAAAATAGTGTGTGTGTGTGCGTGGGTGTGTTTGTGTGCGTGTGTAGGTGTGTGTGTGAGTGTTTATGGATGTGTGTGTGTGTGTATGTGTGCATGGCAAGGCAAAACAAGTCTATTTGTATACCACAATTCATACACAAGGCAACTCAAAGTGTGTGTGTGTGCGTGTGTGTGTGTGTTGTATTGTCAAAATTATTTACACGGATAATTGTTTTTTTGAAATAATATAGATAAGATGTATGAGATAACATAACATTTTTATACTTTTAAAGCTGCAATTACACACATTTTGAAGTGAAATTGTGTCCTGGCCTTTGTAGCATGTGCTGTTTAAAGCTGGGGCACCTGACTTTTCATTTAAATAAACAACACATGAAGTTTGTCCGAGAACAAATGTGAACAAAACAGACCACAACATGCTGCTTGAATAAACAAAAGTACACAAAGGATACACATTTTCTGATAAGATGAAGACAGCATGTTGCCTGAAAAGTTTATCTTTCCAAAACTCTATCTGTTGGCACAAAAAACATGTATTGTTTACGATAAAGAGATATTTCAATTCAGTGAAAAACCTTTGAAAAAACAATGTCTGAATCTGAACTTCTCTGGCTCTTTGTTGAGGCTGTGACTGTGCCGCTCCTGGTCCTACATCCCCAAGCCCTGACCGCATCACGGACCTTCACACCAGAGTGACCAAGACCGAGAAGGAGATCCTGGCCCTGAAGACCCGAACGGCCTGCGAGAGGGCATCATGGGAGCGCAGGTTTACCGAGCTGCAGAGAAAACAGGAACAAACGCTCTCTCAGGTGTGTTTGAAATGCTCGGTGTGTTATGTGTGAATCACCTCATTACTGTTGCCCCGGGCTCCTCAGCTCAGGGCCTCGCAGGGTGTGGAGCAGCGAGCGGGGAGTGAGGCGGGAGTGGACAACGGCGAGGTCTTCGAGGAGTCCACAAGTAAAGTAAACATAAGGTCGTGGTTCTGTAGAGCGCCAAACAAGAGCGGTGATTGTGTGTGTGTTTGTGTGTGTGTGTGTGTGTGTGTGTGTGAACAGGTGAAGAGTCAGACGTCTGGCAGTCGCTGAGCAGGTGTGAGGTGGCATCCAGGGCAGAGCACACGGACTGGAGTCGGCCCTCCTCTTCATCATCTGTTTTCAGGTAGAGAATCTCAGAATTGTTCAGCAGAATGGACCATGTGATAAGAACTAACAGTGTGATCTGTAAAATGTGCTGTTTCGGTCTGATCTTGTGTTTGTTTTTATATCGCAGTCACAAAGACACTTTACAATTGTTTGCTTTATTGATTCAGTCCAAACACAGTGATGGTAATGTAGTCACAGCTAACAGAAACGACTGCTAGACCAACCATTCTCAATAGGTTTGCAGACATGGGGAGAACATGCAAACTCCATACAGGAAGGCCCCATGCAACCCAGGCCAGGGGTCGAACCCAAGACCTTCTTGCTGTGAGGCGAGACCATGTTGCATGATAAAAGAAAAAGCATGATTGGAGGTGCTTGGTGGATCTGGTGCCTCCTCTTGTGGTTTGCCCCAGGGCAGCTGTGGCCGGTGGTTTACTACTATGTGAACTGAATGAACAATATGAAACATGTGAAGCTTCTTTGTTATACTATGTGAAAAGTGCTCCATATTTTCTCCCAATGACTTGCATTTGATCTACATTTGATTTTTTTGGTTAAAATATAATTATGATAGATTATATTTCAAGGCTGAAATTATGTTTCAATCAAAAACACAAGATTATAAAGTAATATAACTGCAAAAATAGTACCATTAATAAAAATACTCATTACAAAAAAGGTCAAAAAGTATCAACATATCCTATAAAAAACATTTTATTTGTGAAACGTCTTAGTCATTATAGCCACATATAATCCATGTTAAAAGAAATACATAAAATCGTGTCAGTGGAACAACACGTCACGTTACAACTTCCATGAAATAAAATCAATAAATGACCTTCTCACTTTTAAACAAATAAAACCAAATTATCTCTGCATTCTGAGTGATCCCCGTGTGGTCCTCTCTGTCAGCGGCCGCTCCTGGCGCTCCGGTCAGCGGGTGTTTGTGCCTCACTCTCCCCTGGACCTGACGCTGGGCCACAGGGTGCGGGTGGTGCTTCCGTCCGGTCGCATCAGCACCGGATCCGTGCGCTTCATCGGTCACCTGCAGGGGGAGGAAGAGCTCCACCTGGGCGTCGAGCTGCCCTCCCCGGACCCCGCTCTCACAGACGGCAGCCACCGGGGACAGTGCTACTTCCAATGGTGACTGTAGATATTCAAGATTTTTCTATTTTATTTTATTATTGTTTTTAATTAAACATGTATTTCAATATAAACTCTCGCAGAGACAACAAATTACAAGGCAAGGCTTTGTAATAAATATAAATATAAACCCAAATTCACACGTTAAAACATCATATAAAATAGACACACAAACATCATAGTCTTAACACAGATTTTCAGCAGACTGGTAGATTTTATCTAGCCTGACTCCATGTAGTTCGCTGCACTTCACAAACGCCTCTGGTGGAGCATGGCGGAACTACAAGGGTCTGGCAGAGCCAGGCTAGATTTTATCAGCACTTTGTAAACAATATCGTGTTTTCTAATAAGCTGACGGGAGCATTTTTATACTTTTCAGGGCTCTTTTTGTATCATTTATGAATCAACAGCTGTTTTCATGGATCACATTGTTTGATTGCTGGATACAGTTTGTGCCCTACACATGTTTTTACATTAACTTTCATATTCAGTCTATGTGTGTTTTATTGATTAATCAGGTGAGGAAGACTAATTTATTTGTTTATTGTTGGTTGGTATTTGGTTGGGACAGTACATGTTAATGAACACATCATTACGGATTGTAGCCACGGGATAATTTGCATTCGTTGTCCCACATTCAAACTCACAAACACACACTCATTGCACATGTTTTTGTGGTAGGGGAAACCGGAGTACCCGGAGGAAACATACGCATACACAGGGAGAACATGCAAACTCCACTCAGACAGATTCGAACCCAGAACCTTCTTGCTGAGAAGCAAAAGTGCTATCCACTCGGCAAACAGTCTGTTAGGACTATTCATTCTTGTATTTTGATCATTTCAAACATGAACTGGAGAACATTGGAGTACAAACAGACAACCTCACTAACCCAGAGACTAATTATTATTCCATTATCCATTTCTATCAATGTTATCATATGTTCTGAATGTAGGCCTAGCAGTCTGTACAACTCTGGCCAAAAGTGGTACTGCAACCTCTCCCACTCTGCCTTACTCTAAACTAACTGAATAGTTTTGTCGTTAATGATTTGAGAATCAAAACGATAAGATAAGATAAGATAAGATAAACATTTATTCGTCCCGCAGTGGAGAAATTTCAGTAAAGACCTATACTGCAGCCGCATGTTACTTTGACAGTGAGATTAGCTCAACACGGTGAGTTCTGGCAACCCGGACTGTAGGAGCCATATCTATTGGTTCATGGGTATGGTTGCTATGGCAACGTGTCAGGGGGCGTGGGTCACGTGGGCATGGGTGTCGTGCCGGGAGTTTTGAAAGGCACTCGCTTCCTGCTCAGTGACAGGGAGAGGGGAGAAGCCGGGTAGCTGTATTTTTCGTTGACCGCACACTTTTGGTCCATATTCTTTTGTTTTCTGTTTTACTCATATGCACTGTAACAATCATAAACCGCAGATACAATTAAATCCACAAAAAGCATTACGTGCCTCCAGCGTGTTCTTTACAATCGGCAGCGCGTCATCCATTATACTGGACCCGCACTCTTCTCTCCAGAAGCGACATAGGTTTGGGTCGCTACACGGACTTTCTGAATGGTGAAGCGTGGAGGACGGGACATCGAAATGAAAACAATGACAAGATTTAGGACATGAAAAACTAATTTAAAATTCAAAAATCTCAGCTCAACTACTGTTTTCAGTTAAAGACGTATTCCAAAAGAGCATTATTTTTTTTTATGCCTTTGGACAGATTGAGGCCCTTTAATGATGACTTGACTTGAAAATCTTACATATTGCTACTTTACATTTAATGAAAAACAACAAACATAAGAATGAATCTGGGACTTTAAGAGTTAAAACAGACCATTGTGTAAATCTGTGCTTCTGTTGCAGCAAACCGGGCTGTGGTGCCTTTGTGCCGTTCCACAAGCTCCTCATGGCCTGGGAATGACTGGGAAGGACTGGGAATGACTTGGAAGGACTGGGAATGACTGGACTGGGAATCACTGGGAATCACTGGGAATCCCTGGGAATCACTGGGAATCACTGGGAATCACTGGGAAGGACCGGGAATGACTGGGAATGACTAGGACTGGGAATCACTGGGAAGGACCGGGAATGACTGGGAATGACTAGGACTGGGAATCACTGGGAAGGACCGGGAATGACTGGGAATGACTAGGACTGGTAATCACTGGGAATGACTGGGAATGACTGGCAATGGCTGGGAATGACGGAGGCGACCCAGTGGCAATCGTGGGCTGTGGATCTTCTGAAGACACAAGATACACATCAAACTACTATCGTTTAATTTCCAAATGTGAAGGAAATAGAGCTGGCGTGTGGGAATATGAAAGCTGAGATCGATCCTTTCACATCCAGACTATTCTGAGTCATGATGCAGGAAGTGTTAGAAGTGTGATTCTTTACCTAATTATAAAGGATCACTAATAACAAATGTCACAACTTTTGCCTTAAACTGCACTTTGATTTTGTTTTACTTTTGTTAATCATTATTGTACACTTTCTCGGGAATAGACAACTCTAACTGTTAAATATCCTATAAACAAATACATACAAATTATATTATTGATTGTAGACTATGCCAAATGTAACATGTTTATTTTTTATTTTGGTATAGCAGGAGTCGTCTCTGAGGACTTAACCAAGTTGTTGATTTTCCAACAGATCAGAGAATCAAAGACATGTATGTCTTCAAAAACGTTTTAAAAAGAAGCAGTGCTTTGGACAGATATATACAAAGAGAATTTAACTTTCCTTATAGTTTGTAAATACTATTGTCCTGGTCCTGTGTGTGTTTTTGTGTTGTAACAAAAAATAAAACATTGTTACCACAAAAACTACATTCATTATAAGTTTATTGTTCACATAATCTAATACATCGTTACTTATATGTACAATTTTCCATTCACAAAACAAACAGGCTTCTTCCTTGAGCTCTGGCGCCAGTTCATATCACAGTATGCAAATCCCATTCCCGTCACACTGGCCTAGTTTACAGATCCACGTAATGCCGGTAATTTGAGAGATTTCATTCAAAACATTGTGTTACCGTTGGCAACTTCCCAAAACATTCTGTACTTTTACAATTCGTTTCCTTGTGAATTAAACCGGACGTCATTGAGATTGGAACGATAACAACATAGTCATCAGCGTCATGTTTCTCGTAAACGGTGAGAGTTGTATGTGACGGTTTCAATAAATGCAAAAAACAACTATCTCAGTTTTGGAAATTTGCCAAAAAGTGTTATCCCTAAATGCAAAAACGACTTAGTAAAGAGCTAATTGTAAGCCTTTCAAATGTAAAGCATAATTTAAACCGGTACTGTATTTATTATTGTATATTATCCTTCCGGCAAGAGGTTGTTTTTTCATAAGCTGCCATTGTAGAAGCAAGTTTTTTTCCAGTTTTTTTCTCTATCAAAAGGTAAAACAAAAACGCATGGGTCACTAGTTGTGCCTTGCTGTTCCGTCTCTTGGCTCAGTGGACATTGTTGGACCCTTAGGCATCAACTTGGATATGACCAAATACACACAGCAGTGACCTTTTCTCCCAGACACACACACACACAAACACACACACACACACATACACGAGTTTGTGATGTTTTCCCTGAGCTGAAAAGTAGAATATGTCCAGTTTGTCTATGTCCAGTAGGTAAATATCATGCTGGCTAATTGAAAACAGTATCAGTTATTATCACTCACAATACAAAAATAACCACATATTTGCATTACTATTTTGTTTTTTACGTTGAATTATTATTTGAGAACATCAGTCCATTACATTACACTGGCATGTTATCTAGAGTTCCATATGGTGCAGTTTTATCGTACAAATACCTGAATATTAAGGCACCACATCAAACAACACAAACTAAGTCTTGTTTCAACTCCAATAATAGTAATGATAATAATAATTAATGCTATAATGAAAAAAATATATAATCTAGAATGATTCATTTTACAGTTAATTCTAAAACGAATATGACAATATTGTGTATAGCCACATGAAGGCTGACAATATTTGATAAAAACAGAAAATAACTGTTATTACTACAGTATAAACTCTCACATCAACATGAGAACTTCCATTGATGACACAATATGTATCAACAGTACACGCTCTAGAAAAGCCATTTGACACAAACAGTCATGTATTTGAAAAATGGAAATAATGCATTATTCCGTGTTGTGTGGGTGGAACTTAAATGCTGAGTCATGGTTACTTTTTTTTGGTGGTGGATCAATAAAGCATCTATCTACTTATTATGGGAAAGTCCTCTTTGAGCATTTACTTTCACTATCTCCACTGCAAGCTTTTCAGGATCCGTAAGATCTGGGAACATTTTCATGACTTCATCAACATCTTTGGGATGAAATATGGCTTTTAACAAACTGCGCGGCTCCATCCGGTCTTGGTCGCCTTCGTCGCGGGTGGTTGGCTGAGCCCAGGGGCTGTACTGGGGGTAATTGTACAGTCTGTTGTGGTGAGTTGTCGCTGAGGCAGCTGCCTTTGAGAGTGACATGCCATATGGATCTGAAAAGTAATTCTGCTCATAGTGAGGGGCACTGTTGTATTGAAAAGGAATGTGGAGGCTTCCTTTGTTTGGAACGCTGCATGGATAGGGGTAGGAGTTGTATTTGGGCTGCCCCTCCATGTGTCTCGCAGGTTGCTGCCCGGTGGATATGTGGGGGGTGTAGTAGTGGCTCAACTGGCTGGTGTTATTTTTCTCCTGCATAGAGGCGTGCCTGGATCCACTGCTCTGCGTCTGGGGCCACGGCCAGGGGGAGTTGCTGTGACTGTCATAAGAGCCAAGTCCGGAGTCCAAGTACTCCTGAGAGCCGTTGACATAGTAATGATGTTGACCCGCCCACTCGCTCTGACTGTGTTCCTCGCTGTGACCGCTCCAGGAAGAATCCCTGAAGGCCAAGTTGTCACCACCTGGAAAGCTTTTGACAGACTCTGTCTCTCCCAAATAAAGCGTTGGTGACGACTGGGAACATGGTTCATTTGAAGAAATCTGGGCTTTATCTCGCAGTTCATCCGCCACATGCCTGTAGGACTGCTTTGTCCGCTCTGGGTGATAGTACTTGCATTTGATGCCATAAGTGCACTTTTTGTCTACAAAGGAAAAAGACAAAATGTCAGCTTCACTGAGTTGACGTGGAAATACATTTTCTCTAAAAGATGACTGTAAAAGGTCAAACAAATGATGTGTACCATAAGGACAAGGCTGTCGTTTTGGCTCTGTCGGGAGCGGCTTTTTCCGAAGGTAGTTATCAAGATTAGGGCCATGGCGACCAAGCGGGTCATCTGGGGGCATGAATCTGAGAACACACACACACACACACACACACACACACACACACACACACACACACTGTTATTTATGTTAAGTGTTTTATCTAGTAGAACATGATTGCAAACATTATCTATTTATAGTTTTATGATAGACAAACTTAAAAACTCTAATTTTTTACTAAGATAATAACTGAACAGTCACTATCACCATAATGATGACCAAACACTATAATCTTTCAGAGATGTTATTATATGGTATTGTACTTCAGATATAGATCAGGACCATGTCTTTTTAAGGCCAACTTTATTTGTGTTTCCATATAAATATCTTATCATCACATCTGTCCTTTGTGGAATTGCATGTATGAAGTGTTGAAACAGAGCTGACGGTGCTCACCTGTCATTCACAAAGGAATACATCAAAAGCCTCTCCTCGATGCACTTCTTCCACTCAGAGTTTTCTCCTTGAAGGTCCCGGTAAGTGTCGTTGGAAACAATCACAGCTTCAGACTCGGCTGCTACTTCCACGATGTAGCGATCGTCGTAGCAAACCACAAGCTTCCCCCCGACACGTCGAGAAGGAGTGAAGACCAGGATCCCACGATTCTCAAGATCAGTCAGGATTTTTTGATCTAGATGAGAAGAAGCATATATTTGAAAATAGTAACCAATAATTTATGTATACTAGTAAAAGTCCATTCAATACAGCTAGTCTGTAACATCCATCCCGGGCCTTTCTGAGTGGAGTTTGCATGTTCTCCCTGTGTCTGCGTAGGTTTCCTCCGGGTGAGTGAATGGATGATGTTGGTCGGAGGCTTCGATGTGCCAGTGTATTCGGCGACTCGCTTCAGTCATCACCGTGTGTAGAGAGATCTGAACTCTGAACATTTTAAAGCGCTTTGGGAGACTTCGGTCTGTAAAATGCGCAATATAAATGTTTCTTACCTACTTACAACTTTTGTCCAAATAAAATATAAAAGAGAAATACAGCTCCTGCTTGTTGCAAGTCTCTCCACGGCCTCACACCAAAGTTTATCCGTGACATGTTAGTGTCATTTGAACCAACTCGGACTCTGAGGAGCACAGGGACTGGCCTCCTGCTGGGACTCTGAGGAGCACAGGGACTGATCTCCTGCTGGGACTCTGAGGAGCACAGGGACTGATCTCCTATTAGTGCCCAGAGTCAGGACTAAACATGGGGAGGCTGCTTTTCAGATTTATACTGTTAAATCTGAAGAAATTCTACCTGAAAATTGGAGATAGGTTTCTACTCTGACAATGTTCAAATACAGGTTAAAAACTTTCTTTGCTTTATGTATTGTGATTGTTTATGGTCTTAGATTGATGATGATCTATTTCGTTTTGTTAAGCCCTTTGACTTGCCTTGTGTTCACATAACCTGCCCTGCCTACAACTATTTATAGAGTTGTAGGATTATGATTATTTATATTACATTTATATCTATGTTCATGCCTTGTGTGACTGTTTCCATCTTGTTTTGTTCAGCACTTTGAATTGTGTATGAATTGTGCTATACATAGAGAATTGCCTTGCCTTGCTAAAATCCATAATGAATTCATAAATACATAGATAACACTAACACTAAATACTAATGTTTAAACCAACTGGAACTTCTTTGATTCGAGACACATCGCTCGAGCAGTGAACCAAAAAATGCAAAAAATCTGGCTCTGGTTTGACGTTCCATTCTTCTCTGCAAACAACCGAAACTGTGAGCCCTTCCGCATGTGTAAAATGAAATGAATCACGTCACATGTTCAAAAGAGCCTGTGAAGTATTGATGAGTAGATAAAGCAGTCTTCAGTCTTTCTCGAGGCCGCCACCACTTTGCTCAGTCGTAAACTAGGCGTGGAAGAACAAATACAGCTGTACTACTTCCTGGTGGGGAATACCCAGCTCCACTGTAAGATTTTTATTCAGGCTTCCTTGTGTGGGGAATAAAACACATGATACCTTTGAACCGTTTCTTCTCACAAAAGATAATTTAAAATGTATAATTGAATAAAAGTGTAATGTTTATTTGTTTGTGTTGATGTATTGAAGATTCCAGTAAAGCAGAGGATATTTTTCTGTTGTGTGTGATATGATTATATGATATTTCCTTCCATGAAAGATGCTATTTGATATTGGGAAGGGCCCAGGGGATTTTCAGTAAGGGAGGGGGTGGGTTCCAGACTTTGAGAACCTCTGCCATAGAAGCATAACGTTGAATCAATCATGTTGTTTGCTTTGAAATGTCCTTGTGTGACTTGTTCCTTTCTATTTATGTAACACTTTGACTTTCTCGTTTTAGTTCAACTTGTTTTATCATCTGGACAAGATCACTTTTTTGATAGTCATTGAGATCATTGTGATTTCCTGGCAGCGAATCAAGCAGGAACTCAATTCATTCCCGGAATAATAAAAACTATTTAATTTGTTCCCTCTATTAATGGTGAACTATGGCACGGTTGAGAAACGCACGAACAAACTGTTGCTTAAACTAGAGCTGCAGAGGCCTGAAGCCAACGTTGACAAACTGCTTCTCTCTGTAGCTCCTTTCGTAACTTCATAATAATGCTTTTATGAGTTTTATATGTGCCTCTCTGTGTCTCACTATGTTTTGAAATTCTTTTTGTCTGTGTTGCTTTGTGGTGTTGGTGCACGCCCCGGTGTCTCCTGTTTGGATTCCAATGTAGTTTTTTCTGTAAATGGCCATAAATTGATTCTGACTCTTCTGATTCTTACAAACTTACATATTTGCATAATGACACGCTCACCTCTAGCCTGGCCTTATCCATCCGTACACTCTGTTCAATCATCATTTCCCTGCATTTAATGTCTGGGTCTAGTCCCTGTGTTAGCGATTACAATCGGTTGAATTTCGACGGATCATTCAGAGAGCGCGGAAGGCAGGAGTTGTAGTTAGTTGTGGGTGATGTCAAGAGTTAGGTTGTGGTTTGGCAATGGCGAAAATGCGACTGTAAAGTAATCCAGTCTGGTTCTATTAATAAATTGAAGCCGGAGCAAGAGGAATGTTTAGCAATTGTAATCGCTGGAAAAATTGTGGCGCTACTCCCCACGGGCTCCGTTAGTGGCAAAGGAGATGGCTTAAGCTAGGCTAAATGCTAACGATAGACTCTGGCGCATTACATACGTCACGGTAAACTCAGATCCAATCGTTTAAATCTGCTAAATGAGTTAACCCCTCCCACCTGTTCACAGAGCTCAATTGAGCACCTCCAGACCTTAGTACGAAATGTAATTTGTACTATGGTGTGGTACAACCAGGCTTGCTCACCTCTAATGGGGGCGTCAGGTCGGGGTTGCTCTTTACGCCAACTGGGAACAAACACTTTGATATTATTATGACCTCTGTCCAGGAAGAAGTTGACAGCCAGCTGAATGCCCCGACACGAGAAAGTCTCTTTGTTTCCGTGGCTGCAAGAAAAGCAGACGCAGAAAGTGAACATAAATGTCATAATAAATACAGAATACGTGTCTCTGTGTGCAGCACGCTCATAGTTATGGTTCTGAGGTCAATTGCATATTGGTGCAAGACAAAACATGTACAGGCTCCGACTGTGAACGAGTCTGGAGGAGCAGGAAACACACTGAATAAACACACATTTCACTAAAAACAACTCTTATCCAGTGTTTCCTGGTGAAGCTAATTTGGTTTGGCTAGTTTAAGCTTTACACTTTACTTCCTGGTTGGACTTGGGAAGCATAAGCCACTTCCGTTACAGTAACTAAGCTGTACCCAAAGGTCAACACTTAATTTGCCTAAACTCTATAAATGGGAAAGTTTGAGTAACACACATGTTGTCGAATGAGATGAAGCTTGTTTTTAGTCACAGACAAAATGTATCACTATTTTAGGAATTGTGAGTCTGAAAAAAACATTGAGGGATTTGATTTCGGAATTCCCTGTACTTTTTCCAAAGGTCTTCAACTTTGAATGATGTAGACATAAAATGATTATGTCTATTGTCCACAGATTACAGCACAGAAAGAGGGAATCATTTCTAGTTTATCACACGATGGAAGTATCTGTGATAGTGTTGATCAGGAGGCTCCATCAGTTGCTGGATTTAACGCCTACAAAGTTATGTGAAAAAGTTATGTTGTGTGTTAAGTTATGTGAAAAAGCAGGAACCACATTAAGTACAAGTTAATTAATGTCAATAGATTATGAATAATGATTATTTAATGCCTCTAATAAAACATGTTTAAATTATGATTTGTGTGTGTGTTTGTGTGAATGTGTGTGCATGTGTGTGGGTGTGTGTGTGTTTGTGTGTATGAGTCTCTGTGTGTGTGCGTGTATGAGTGTGTGTATTTGCATGTATCAGTGTGTGTGTTTGTGTGAATGTGTGTGCATGTGTGAGTGTGCGTGTATGAGTGTGTGTATTTGCATGTATCAGTGTGTGTGTTCATGTATGTGTGTGTGTGTGTGAGAGAGTGTGTGTGTTTATGTGATTGTGTGTGTATGTGTGTGGGTGTCTGTGTGTTTGTGTCTCTGTGTGTGTATGTGTATGTATGTGTGTGTGTGCGTTTATGAGTATGTGTGTATGTATGTACTGTATGTAAGATTTCTCAACACTGTCTCATTTTTTACTCAGCCTTTTCCTCTGAAGTGACTAAGACAAACCTACAAACTTAAACCATGAGACAACAATGGGATCCCAGAGAGAATCACACGTGTGCCTTATGATACAAAACAGAACAATTCCATCATTCTAGTGTTTTCCTCTGGGACTGTACCTCATGGCCACGTTGCTGCCATCGATGACAATGGGCCGGAGCTCCTCATCTGTAGGTTTCTTCTGCACAGCTTCGGGAATGTTTTGGGAAGTCCCGGAGGTCCAGCTCGAAGGCATCAGAGAGTACTTGGACCAGGCGCTCTTCTCATTGTTGTCTGAGTTCGTAACGTGGGGAGCTGGCCGGGCCCCGATCCGAACCAATTCTCCCAGGGCGGCGTTGGTGTCCGGGTCTGGGCCGAGCTTCCTCAGGACGGACTTCACGTCTTTGGAAGAGTAGCCGAGTTTTCTGAAGAAGTCGACTTTGAGTTGGAGATCGTCGCTCTCTCGTTTCACTGGGTCAGGGGCTGTGTTCTGGCAAGGGTGTGCCATTGTAAAACATTGGATTTTCCTAGAAATAGACACACGTTTTTTGTAGAATTTACACTAAGAAGTAGACTGCAAAACTACTGCAGATGTAAACTCCTTCTTTTACTTTACCTGCTGCTACTCTATGTCTGATTATCCCAACACCTTTGTCTAGTTCTGTTGCTTTCTGTTTTTATTCATGCAAATGTTTTAGTCTTTGTTTTGGTTTTGATTGTACTCTGTTTTTAACCATGTTTGTACAGTGTCTTTGTGTGTTATGAAAGACACTTTTAATTAGAATGTATTATTATTATTATGCTGATAGAATACAGGGCTATACAGATATGCATAATGCTCATTTATACAATAGTCACATGACACTGCGAGTTCAATCAGTAGACTAGAGGTGTCAAAGTATAAGAATAAATGGCAACATAACAAGTATAAATATAAGTTTAAAAACGACAAGGAACTAGATACTCATTTTAGAAAGAATCGATACAGATTCCGTACAGACACACAGACAGTAGACTGAGAAAAAGGTTTTTATTATTATTTATACCATTATTACTATATTACTACTATCATTCTCCGAACAAACACAAACCCTTGAACTACAGAATCAAGTACAGTATCGAGTCATTTTCTTAGTAAGCCTCGAGTATCGTAATCGAGTTGGTAATTGCAGTAAACCCACCATGGGAACACTAGAGTATATACAACAACAAAACACACGATACTTTTACTTTGATCGCCCGATTCGTAATTTGTCAAAACAGATAAACAATCAGACACACACTGGGAAATGACTAGTTGACGTTCAGTGGAGACAGAAAAAAAAACACACACACACAAAGAAAGTAGAGTAGCCTATGCAGTACATAATAGATCCATGAGAACATATAAGTTATAATGTAACCAAAGATCGCAGTGTGGATCAGACAGCTTACCTCCGTGGTGTCTGTAATATCCACACCGCAGGTCTCGGGACAGGTGAGCCCAGAAAGTTACGCACGACGCAAATGGCGAGCACGTTACGCACCGGACGTCAGGTAAAAGTCCTGCTCCAGCTTCGTCCTCCTTTTGCTCTAACCCTGACTTTTGTGTTGTGTTTTTTAGTCAAACGTTTCCTGTACTAAAGCAGGCTGAATGGCTGAATGGGTTTGACTTCAGGCACCTCCCTCCCGGGAAATGATTCTTGTGTATTCTTCCCTGTTCCTCGTAACTCTGTGAAGCGCTTCCTGGTGAGATCCCCTCATGATGTCAACAAGATAAAGTACCAGAGAAATAAGTGAACAGGGAAGTGAGATAACAGTGTGATATGTAACTGTAATCAGAAATGCTTGAATGGATGAGGTAGGATGAGGTGAAAGGTTTATTCAGTTTTGGGTTATTATGTTTTCTCAAGGGGGAAGCTGTGGTTCGGGGAATAAAAATATTAATAAAAAAGATAAATACATAAATAAATAACTAAATAAAAAAAAAATATATAAATAAATAAATAAATGAATTGGAAAGGCAAGGCAAGTTTATTTATATAGCACAATTCATACACAAGGCAATTCAAAGTGCTGAACAAAACAAGAAAACATTAAAATCATAAATAATCACAGAACATTAAAAAGAAAGATCAAAATATAAAATCCCTCAGTTGTAGCACAGCTAAACAGAACTGTCTTTAACCTGGTTTTAAACATTGTCAGAGAGGAGGCCTGTCTCACATCTTCAGGAAGACTGTTCCAGATTTTAGCAGCATGAATCTGAAAAGCAGCCTCCCCATGTTTAGTTCTGACTCTGGGCACTAACAGGAGTCCAGTCCCTGTGCTCCTCAGAGTCCGGGCTGGTTCATATGGGACTAACATGTCACTAATATATTTTGGTGCGAGGCCATGGAGAGACTTGTAACAAGCAGAGCTGTTTTAAAGTCTATTCTCTGAGCCACAGGAAGCCAGTGCAGAGACCTGAGGACTGGACTAATGTGGTCGTACTTCCTTGATCCTGGCAATGTTTTTTAGATGGTAAAAAGCTGCTGATGTTACTGATTTGATGTGGCTATTAAAATTTAAGTCTGAGTCCAGTATTACCCCTAGATTTCTGACCTTGTTTGAAGGTTTTAGGGAGAGAGACTGGAGGTGACAGATGACGCTCTCTCAAATAGATAAATAGATCAAATAACAGAGAAATAGGGAACAGGCAGTGAGATAACATTGTAATATGAAACTGTAATCAGAAATGCTTGAATGGAGGAGGAAGGATGAGGTGAAAGGTTTATTCAGTTTTGGATTATTATGTTTTCTCAAGGGGGAAGCTGTGGTACGGGGAATAACATATAAAAAATAAAATAACATTGAAATACAAAAATAATAATAATAAAAAAATAAAAAAAATAAATGAATAAATATATAAATAGATAAGGTAACAGAGAAATAAGGAACAGGGAAGTGAGATAACAGTGTAATAATGTAATCAAAATGCTTTAATGAATGTTGAAGGATGATGTGAAATGTTTGTTCAGTTTTGGGTTATTATCATAGACTTTTGGGTTTTTATCATAGAGTGTAAATATTCATTGTTATTGCTATTATATTATATTTTTTAACTGTATTTTGTATGTATTTGTTTTACTTAATCTTTAACTCAGACTTACAAAATGGTACAAAATGGTCCGTAAAACACAAGAACAACACACAAACATACAATTTTTGCACAAATTATCAGATGTCTTAAAGTGAGTTGATCCTTCTGTGGTGTTGAGTAGGAAAACTAGTGACCACTTAATTTGGGATACAAATAATGAAATAAATAATCGAAAATAATAATAATAATAATAATAATAATAATAATAAAAAAATGCATACATAAATCAGATCAGATTCATTTATTTGCCATTTGCAGTAAAACCACATTGGAAAAATTGTGCAAGACTACCCCAGTGTGCACTGTATGTATTTAAATGAATAAATACATACATAAATAAACACATAAATACATAAATAAACACATAAATAAGATAACAGTAACATAAGGTAAAATAAAATAGAAGTAAACAACGGATTGATTCAGAACCAATATGAAATCAGTCTTATGAAGGGATTGCAGGATCAGAAATCAGAAACAGAACACTCAGGTGCTCATCCCGCGGGCTAGATATAAGTGTTACAGTGAAAACAATGGAGAAGGAGACTCTCTGAAAATAATATCAGTCTTTTCAGTGACTGTCATTATGGGGTAATAATCTATCAACAGTTATTTTTACTTCGTTGCAAACTAATATTACAGAGCTCATGGTACATTTTGAGCGATTTGAATGATCTTACATCGATAAACCCACAGAGAGAATTCCACAAACATACAACATTTATCAGCTGCAGAATAACATGTATAGAAAACTTTACAAAGTTTGAGAACTACTGCGTCTGTACATGCACTTCATCCGTAAATAAGAGAATACTTCAATCATGTGCAATGTGCAACACTGCAACTTCAGAATGTCACTGAACGTCACTTTTATATTAGATATTTTGAAGCATTTACCCACTAAACATCCGACGTCCACTCAACCTCCAGATCACGTCAATATCGCGTCGGTCGGTCGTGACCTTTTATTTACGTCCAAACGACGTCTGTGCAAGGTGCGCATCTGGACGTAAAACAATGACCTCCCATATACGTGGATATGACGTTCAATCCCGACCTCCCCTAGACGTCGAAAACAGGTCATCGGCCGACCGACGCAGTACGTCTTGATCTAGCAATACTATATATAGGCTGTGAAGCGATCCCAGTGTACCTGACGGTAGTGTAGTGGTTAAGCAAACGTGTGCAGTCTTGGTTACGTGGGTTCGAGCCCACGTGGGTGTATTATTATCTTTATATATTTGTTTTGATTTTTAACGAACAATTTTTTCCTGTTTGGTTAAAGACTAATAAACACTCAACATAGGATTACGTAGTGGCTAATAATAAAACTTGTGAATGTATGCATTTGTTGTGCTAACAATCTCAAGTTTGCAAATAAGGGGTGAGCACTTGAGATTTTATGCAAATGCATGGGTTCACAAGTTTTATTATTAGCCACTACATAATCTTATGTTGTGAGTGTTTATTCGTTTTTAACCAAACAGAAAAATTGTTCGCTAAAAAGTGAAAAGTCAAAATTTCCGACGGGGATTTGAACCCGCGTCGTTGCGACTGAAGTCTCATTACGCAACCGCTACACCACGGCCAGGCATTTTATCCGACTACCGTGAAAAAATAATAGATAACACCCTAAACAACCGACGCACACTTATGCGCCGCGCGAGTATAACTTATAACTTTACAGCCTGACACGTGAGTCGCTCGGTCGAGGACCTGTTTTCCACGTCTAAACGACGTAAGGTGTGCATCTGGACGTAAAGCAATGTCTTCCCAGACGTTGATATGACGTTGAATCTGTACCTCTGTCGCTGCCCTGCTTTATTTACTTGGAATCACCCTCTCTAGTAAGTACACAGTCTGCACAGTTTTTAGATATAGATGTATCATTTCCACATTGAAAAGAGTTGGAGACAGAAAGTAAGTTGTTTTCTCACGTATACGTGGATTTTGTTAAGTATATTTTGTATATTATCTGTATTTTGAATTGCCAGTGCATGAATCTATAATAATAACGGCTGGCACTGCTCAGCTGAAAGGGAGACACCTTTTTTTAGTTTTTAAGTTAAAGTTTAAAATATGATATTGTTTTTCATATTTCAAACTATTTTTAACACATTAGAATTCTTAGGTTAGACTGTCCAACAAACTATGTGTTAAAAAAGGTTAAGATTCTTGAGTTTTAAAATAATAATTCAATTCTAAAATGTAAAGTTACTGTATATTTCACAATGGTTTATAAACTGCAAAAAGACAACAGTACTTAGTAAACTAAGTTTAAAAACAGGGAGATCAGCTTTAATATTTGGGACACTCCCATCATTTAGACACCTGTGATGTCATCAGTTGGAGTTGAGTTCAGGTGTGGGACCATGTGGGACCATGTGGGACCATAGGAGCACACAGATGTTACCTGCTGCAGAAAGAGAGTTTAATGTTCATGTATTGCTTTGTTTAATAAATGGATTTAATGTCTTCCCAGGTCTTCAATGTCAGAGACTTTCACTTCTTCTCACTGTGGCTGTTTAAATGAGCCACTACAGTTGTTATTTTTGTTATTGTTAGCTGCAAATATTAAATATCCATTCATCTGCTGGTAGCAAGCTAACTAGCGCTTGCAACTCTATTCAATTTCTTACTTTTTCTTATAAACTTTAAAACCAGCCATATGTTAATTAAAATACATTTACCTTTGCTAATGCAGTCAATTATTGTGAAATCCATAGAGTATAATTTCATGATTGTTGCAATAACTAATGTTCTGTGTGTATTCCTAATGTGTCATGTGTGTTTGAGTCTTACAGGTGTCAGACTGTGTTGAAGGTGTTCAAAGGTAAGAATCACACTCTCACACATTGATTGTTGTTCTGTATTATTATGTTGTTTTTAGAATAAACCATTATTTGGTGTATTCTCTTTGAAAACATCTATCTTTTTCTCAGATTGTTCAGCAACTCACTCAAGATGAGGGAAAAGAGCAACAAGGGGAAAATGCCCCCTCGGAAATGCAACATGTGTAGAGTAATACAGGGTAAGTAGCTTTCAGGGCTCATTTGTCCATGTGCAAAACAAATGCACATTTGCAATTGTTTTTTACATGGAATTACTCCAATGACCAAAGCCTTATCCCAAGTTTCTCAGACGGAGTGTCTTCCAGTGTCTCGAGCTAGTGCAGTGCCAAGGTTTGTATCACATGGTGATGGATCGAGTGGTTTGAGGCATTAATAGAAAGTTATGTGTTGTTATATCACTTTGCCACATTATGTTGAAACTAAACATGTTCCACATTTTCAGGTGCTGTGCTTGGACCTTGTGATGAGAGACTGAAGACCAAGAGAGGACACAT